TTTGGCGACAGAAGGGAGTTTCCCTTCATCTGAAAGGCCGTGTATACAAGGCCACAGTGAGGGCCGTTCTGCTGTATGGTAGTGAGATTTGGCCCCTCCGGTCTGAAGATCTGAGGCGCCTTCAAGTCTTTGATCATCGTTGCTTGCGAAGCATTGCTGGTGTCGGATGGCACCAGCGTAGCCCCAACGATGATGTGCGTAGGCGAGTACTAGGTGGTGATAATGATGCCGGCACCCTAGAACATCAGATAGCGCTGAATAAGTTGTGTTGGCTTGGGCACGTGCTACGTATGCCTGGTCACCGCTTACCTAGGACGGTCTTGTCCAGTCCACCAGGCGTAGGGTGGCGCAAGGCTCGAGGTGGACAGAAGTTGACTTGGCAGCGGGAAATGAAGTCAATGACAACCAAACTGGTTGATTGGATTCCAATCAGTAGCCGGATGTGTGCGGTCCGATTGGCTGGCTCGTTCAAAACTTCGAAGTCGCGCGGGACTAACAGGTGTCTATTCGTTATCGCTGCCTATGAACCGACAAACTGTAGCGATGACTCGGTAAAAGACGACTTCTATCGCCAACTGAACGAACTCCTTCGCCACAGAAGAAGTTCGGACACTGTAGTGCTGGCTGGGGATCTGAACGCTCAAGTTGGAAAATTATCCACAGGTGAGCTGCATCTGGGCGGCCAACATGGTGTACGCTCCCGTAATGATAACGGTAAGCGGTTACTTCATTTGTGTGAGGATGCTCGCTTATTTCTTGAGAGCACCAATTTCCGACACAGCACCCGCCGGAGGGTGACTTGGCGTCTACCAGCCTCGAACCAGCTATGGACGCAAATCGATCACATTGCTATCAGTTACCGATGGAGAGGCTGCGTGCAGAACTGTCGCTCGATTTGGAACACAGGTGTTGACACCGATCATGCACTTGTATGTGCTGACCTGCGGATGCGCTTTGGCGGACGCCCGCGACGACGCTGTGAGCGCATTGACACCGGCAGACTGGTAAAACCAGCTGTTCTGAACGACTATCAAATTACGCTGTCATCCGAGTTGGATAAACGCTCACTGGATGCAATTGAAGCTCACTGGTCTCATATGCAACAGGCCTTACTAGCAGCAGGCAAATCCTCATGTGGTATGTCTAATCGCCAACATGAACATTGGGTCTCTTCACAGTCTTTGGAACTTATAGATGCTCGCCGGCATATTCCGGCTGGAAGCGAACACAATGAAACTCGCAAAGAGCTCCGGGCAAAACTCCGTGCTAGCCTGAAGAGAGACTGCGAATCCTGGTGGTATCATCGTGCTTCAGAGATGGAAATGGCCGCTGCCCTTGGTGACCATCGTGAGTTATTCCGTCTGATACGGGAAACGGGCAGCAGGAGGCCTGGTGTTAGTGAAACTATACGTGACGAGAGTGGACAGCCTATCCACAACTTATCAAAACGCTTAGAGCGTTGGGCTGAGCACTCTGAAAGGCAATTTAATCGGTCGGAATTGTTAGATTTCTCACCGACCAGTGATCGCTCCGCTCCGTGGGCTGTTTCTTTGGATCCACCCTCTCGCTCAGAAGTCGAACATGAGATCAAACTGTTGAAGTTAAATAAAGCCGCGGGACCAGATGACCTTCCTCCAGCCCTCTTCAAATTCGGGGGACCTGCTCTTGTGGATGATGTACACGAGTTACTAGTGAGACTGTGGGAGCAGGAAACTGTCCCAACCGATTGGAGCCGCTCCATCATAGTCCTAATTTCCAAAGGAGGCTCACGATCGGAATGCGGCAGCCATAGAGGAATCAGTCTGATCTCCATCGCCTCCAAACTGCTTGCCTCTGTCATCCTTCACAGATTGACTGGCACTCGTGAAAGCCAGATTCGCGAAGAGCAAGCTGGATTTCGTCGAGGTCGTGACTGCATTGACCACATCTTCACCTTGCGTCAGTTGTTGGAGCACCGTCACATATATTGGCGGCCCACCGTTGTCGTGTTCCTCGATATCAAAGGTGCATTAGATTCGATGGATAGACATGCAATTTGGGACTGTCTACTCAGGAAAGCTGTCCCTGAGAAATATGTGAATATTATCCGAGCATTATATGCGCGTAGCTCGGGCAGAGTGAGGGCTTACGGCAAATTGTCGTCGCCCTTTAATATCTCCAGCGGCGTGAGACAAGGATGCCCGCTGTCACCTTTCCTCTTCAACTTCGCTGTTCACGAAGTCATGGAAATCGCGTTCACAGGACATGACTTAGAAGGTGTGGATCTGCTCCCAGGAAAACCACTTCTTGACTTAGAGTATGCTGATGATATTGCCCTGATCTGTGACAGCTCACAAACGTGCCAAGCGGCACTGGACAGATTAGCACTAGCTGTTCGTCACTTCGGGCTTTGCTTCGCACCCTCGAAGTGCAAAGCGTTTCTCCAAGATTGGTCTGGACCGCCTCCTACGCTGACCCTTGGTGGGGATCAGCTAGAAATCGTTCAAAATTCAACTACCTGGGAAGTTGTAGCAGCGCCCGTGGGATTGAAGATGAAATCACAAATCGTATAGCAAAAGCTCGATGCGCTTTTGATAACCTTCGACACTTATAGCGCCGGCGCGACATCACTCTCACCCTGAAGGGTAGAGTGTACAATGCAGCAGTACGTTCGACCCTATTGTACGGTTGTGAAACCTGGCCGCTTAAAGCAGCGGACCTGAAGAAGCTAGTTACGTTCGACCACCGGTGCCTTCTTAATTTAGCTCACATTTGGTGGGAACACCGCGTGAGCAACGAGCGTGTTCGACGCCTTGTTTATGGCACAGGAAGAGGAAATGAACCGCTCACCACCGTTATTTCACGCATCAGGCTCCGATGGCTCGGCCACGTGTCACGCATGCCAGCCCACCGACCCCCGCGACGTGTGTTGTTTGCGCGCCGGGGGTGTGGATGGAAGAAGAGGAGGGGAGGCCAAGCGATGACTTGGTCAAGAGGAATGAAGGCCCTCACTTCTGAGCTGGCCTCGGTTGGAGCGTCTCGGCTCCCTGGTTGGGGTCCGAAAGACGATGAACACGTTTGTGTGTCCAACCACTTGCTGATATGGCTAGGAGCCGACCTCCATTGCGTTCGTGCTGTGAGTTTCTTTGTCCCAACCCATTCCTCTTAGCCTCCCCCTCCAACCACGATCTTATTACTTAGCCTTATATAATTTTGCATAATAATTTTTTTGGGTGCACAGCAGTCGTCTGTTAGCTTACCGGAACGATGCCCATCCGTTACCGGTAGCTCAGCCAGCTTGCACCAGTTGTTTTTTCTCTCTCCTTTTTTCTTTCTATTGCGGCACAGTAGCTGAGGTGTTCCCCACCTCTAGCTAACGTGTATGATGATGATGATGATGATGATGAAACTGGGTGCCGTTGGTCCGTCTCGCCTTCCGGGTTGGAGTCCACGTGACTCACCTTGTGCTTGACTCTAGACTTTGCAGGACATGGCTCGCAACCGACACCAGTGGCGCGTCTGTTGCCTTCTCCTAGTCGGATTTCCTGTTTAAAGTGTGTTTGGTGCGGAGGTATCTGCGGGGTAGTGGCTGATTATAACGCGGGGCCGTGAAAACCGCAAGGAAGCTGTCTCGCTGATGCCGCGTTATCTTTGTACAATAACCAGCTGTTTGTGACTGTATGTTGTCTACACAAGGTGTAGGCGCCTTGACCCTGAATGTTTGCTTAGGGCATTAAGTTTTTAGGTAAGTCTCCATACTCTCCCACTTCCTATTCTTTATTCCACAAGCCAGTATGGTTGTATGGCAACGAAGCATTAATTCAAATGGCTGATGTACTGCTGTTGTTGATGCAGATGATGATGATGAGTGTGCGTGGTCGCCTCGCATACCAGTTTTCGTTGCCGCGTTGTTAGACAACCATGTGAGAGCCTGAGAAATTGATGCACCCCCTAACACGGTTGTATGGTCAGCAATTATGGTTGATCGCCTGTCGTTGTTTGGGTTTAGGGAGCTAGTGTATAAGGACTTTGTTAAGGAGATAACAAATAAGATAACTATGCAGACTTGACCGCAAATGGTAGAGTGTGTGGCTGTTGACCGATGGCTTAGACCGTTAAACCAACGCAGGCGGGTGGACACTGCTTGATCTCGTGCAAGGATGATGAATGTGGAGACCCAGAGCATGTACGGAAAGCATAACTACCGTTTAACACGATGCTTAGGAACATATTTTCGGATGGGTATTTGTCAGCTGCTGACTGGATTCGAATAAATCACATGGTTGAGGTGAAGTGTTTTAAAGCGGCAAATAAAATGTACTGGCTTCTTTAAAGACAAAAACACAAGCGCACATGGTACATCGGCCGACGACCCTGTAACACGTTCGGCCTGAAGCGTCTCACTTGTACCCCTGTGATTGACGGTGCGTACACGCTACTAGCTATGTGCGCCCGAGGCCCTAGTGGCTTAAGCAGAAACATATCTGCGCAAGTGAGCGTCAGACGTTCGACTCAGATCAGCGGAGTAACGGACCAACTTATTTGCCCTACAGAGCATCTTCTTTCCTGTTCAGCCTAATTCGCTCGCCCAAGGGGCCAACTTGACCGAGAAATGGTGTAGTCTCGATTTAATTGGCACTAATAAGTGCGTATCTTGAATTATTGCCTGTATTCGATGAGATGTGGAATAGAATTGAAAGACAATATTGGTGTGATCCGGTTGTTCACAAGTGCTTCTGAAATGAGCCCATCTTTGGTCGCGATATAAGTTGATGACACAGTGTTGGAGATAAGTTTATTCGACTTCCTTAAGGAAGCCAATACCAGGAAATGGATTCCACAATCATGTAACAGGCCAGGCCCTTAAGGAATTTATTGTATCGCAATGGGAGTAACATCAAATCCACTTGGTGGGTCAGGATCTAATGCATCAGATAATCCAGCGCAAGCACAATGAGGAGTTTGAACGGAAAACTGGGGGATAAGAAAACAAGACGAAAAGCGAATGAACGAAGGCTCACCTGAAGTGCCTGATCAGCCAGCCCATATTGAGTTGGAACTCGTTTGAGTAGCTCTGCCAACCAACGGTGGTGGTGGTGCGGCTTACTGGACTCGGCTGAATCACCATTCGAGAGTTCACCCTGTACCTCCAAAAGATAACACAAACGGACCATCTGATTGCAATCGGCGAAGCGTTCAGCAAGAACCAGAGCCGCTTCGGGCCGGAGTAGATGATCCGCTAGGGAAAGCGAAAATAAGTAACAGCGATCATATAATGAGTGAAATGAAAACCTAGACAGGATGTGCTACAAAAAAGTGGGAACAACGGGAGTTCAGTAAAAACTACTTGTGTCCAGTGCATGTCAGAAAGGACCTAGCACGTGACGGTGGAGGTAAAGTGCGAAATTTTGCAACGAAACGGCGCGACTATTTGTGTTTGCCCCAGTAGCATTCAATGCACAGCTACAAAGAGATCAGTACGTTAAGGTATGATAAATTTAATAATCACGGGAACAACAATAGAAATGGATTCGCACGAACTCAGATGGCTAACATCAATGAAACCTCCACAAACCAAGTGCGCTGTAAGAGCTGGAAGATAGGATTAAAGGAGAAGTCAAGGGCACAAATGGGTCGTATAAATTTGTGTAGAGAAGCACAAGGTGGTCAGTTTCGTGTGGCAACTTTTAGTCGTGCATTCAGGTGTATTTGAACAAGGTACCAACTATCACAGTGTAGAGAGTGGTGATAGCAAAATAAAACAAAGTGATATGCAAAAGCTAAACGGAAAGATGGAGCAAAAACCAAAATACAACGACTACGGTATAGTACCGAATATAGGTCGATGAATTTTAGGCAAGTTTTCGTTTCTGTTAAGGGGGTCGGCTCAAACAAAGATCACATGCAAAGTCCAAAAAGGAATTCACTGCATATCTCGGCGTTTATCTCCCATTAGCACCACTCGCTAGTGACGGACGGTATTCCATACAAGATTTTAAGTGCCTATAACTGGACACGTTACTATTGTGTCGAAAATTCCCGGTATATTGCACATCGGATGTTCGCGACGGATGGCAGTAGCGAATCAAAAACGCTGAAACATTATGTCATGCAAGGTGATCAGTGCCTGAAATGTACAACGTCATCCCACACCTCTGCCCATGAACTTTGCTCTCACCCACAGCTCTAATGTAGTGCATATCTATGAGGCCCCTGACTATGTCTGACACACACATAACCCAATATTGTCGGATTTCTTACATGTTTCATGTGACTTTACATCTGGTCAATACACTATCCGATGCGATGAGTCTTTTCTGACGGCCCTACGCTCTATTGAGCGCGATTATAACATTACGGTCACCCCAGTTGACCAGTAGTAGAGCAGGTTTCACTTGAACTCACTCAAGTGAGATCAAGTAGTGATGCCGTCGAAATCGTGGAGAAACAATTTCGTTTCTCTTTTGCTGATTTTTTAGAGGTAGGGTTTTGGCGTTGCAGTCATACTGTCGGCTTATCTATGGACGGGCTTATATTCGGTAATATACGGTACATTAGTTTGATAAAGAGCGAATGGAGGAAAATTAACAGAGATCACTAACTATCCAACTGCAAAATGTCACGTAAGTCCTTCAAGCACTAAAGTGGTTGAACTTGCGTTCCATAACCAGGAAAATAGTATCAGTATGACACACCAACGGATGATCCATCGCACTGTCGGAGGTTAATGTGGTGTGATTGATGTGTACCTCCGTGTTTCACTAGACCCTGTGATTTACCTCCAAAGAAACGCGAAGTAAGACAACTGATGGTTAGAAGCAAAGCAAACGTAAAAGTTGTATCGACTTGGTAGGTCGGAATGAATTGGATGAGTCGCCCCACTTAAGACGCAGCCAAGAGAAACCGCCGTTTGTGATTCCAGAATGAATGATGGTCACTGTCAGACGGAATAGCCATGGGTAGTGGCTGTTCCCATCTCCGATGCATGATGGGACCACCAGCCTGCTGGAAAACTACAACAATGCTGTACAATGTGGTTGATCGTTCAGTGAAACATTCACGGCCTTAAGCGTTTAAGTCGATAAACTATTTTGAGGGTTTTGTGATATTCGAGCGACCTGTTCATGAACGTTCCGTAGAATTTGTATGGGCTGAAAAATCCGGCTGGTGATAGATCGATCAAACCGATGTGTGATTTTGCACAATCACGCGCAAACATCTCATAAGTGTCGCTTGACAATGCGACGGAGAGCACCTCTAGATACGACACGTGTATTGCCTCTCTAGAGCGTAGCGCCTTCCAGATAGGGGGCCACGACTGTTAGTGGCGTTGTTGCACATGGTCGCTTGTCTAAAACAGTAGGCAGCAACGATACCCATTTTAGTCATTATTCCGTCGACGTATTTGTCCGATTTCATCTTGTTGTCACTCTGTTAAACGCTACTCTTGAGGAAGAAAGATTCCGGGTGACTGATGCTAATGAACTTCTTCGCTCGGGTTGTAGGGGATCATCCGAAGGGAAACGGAGTTAATGTATATTACAACCGTAAAACTGCTCAGGATTATTGAGACAGGTTGCTGTTGGTTCAGCAAGAGAAACAACATGTATCCATCAACTTTAAGCGCCATCTGTTAAACTCAAAGTATGCGACGTGATTCGCGACATTGCGTTGTGGATAAGGGACGATGGTGCAGCCATTGCAGGTAAGAAATGGTTTCAACCCGAAATTGTGAGGCATCACGGCAACAACATCAAGGGATGTATTAATGGACACCAAACAAAGTGGTAAAGATCACTCACCAACAGTATCAATCAATCGTTTACGAAGTTGCACAAACCAGAACCGCATGCGGCGCAACCGCTGGACGGTCTCCACACGTCGTTTCAAGTTGTGGAGATCCGATTCGAGGGATGAGTCAGATGAATGCGACCAAGACCAAGCAGACGATGCTGTGGCCCATTGGACTCTATGCCGAGCGATATTTAATAGATTATCAGCCCATTCGATAGCCATTGCGGCGGCATCCTTGGTTAATTGGATCATATCGGGTACATCGGCAGACTCGGAAGGTTCCTGTTGATCGGAGCTGAGTGACCATTCACCGGAACCCAGCTGCACGAGTCGTTCAAACTATGAGAAGAGAAATGAACTGTATTATGTGGGAAGAAGCACAAATTCCACGCTGATGGGTTACATCATCGTGGTAATGCGGTAATGAGATTGATCTGTCACGGTTGCGAGAACCTGCTGCTGCTGTTCGTGCGCATACATACAATGTTCAATCTGCCGCTAATGAGGAAGCACCCGTTGAGATTGCCCATCAATATAACAAACAGTACCTGCGCCGATAGCCACTAAGTTGATAGTTAGGTAAATAAATAAATAAACAGGTTATTCTCGAGAACGACTGGCCGGAAATAGGCCAAAAGGATGAGAACTTGAATATACAATATTGGGGTAGGTTAGGGAAAGTCCATGCGATCTATTGCCCTCACCTCATAAAATGGGTTAAGCGATACAGAGAGAAGGCGAAAAAAACGAAGAGGATGAGGGGCTCACAATTGTCAACAGTATGTCGCCCACACCAAACGGGCGGGCATCCGTCAGCCAGCAGAGGAGATAGTGCGTCTTCTCATTGGCTGGGCCCACTGTCACATTTAACAGCGATTGAATCTGTCGATCCCGAAAGGCGGAAACAGCCGACAGGCCCGCCTGAATAATAGAAAAAAGTGGGAGAAGGAAAAGAGGCGAGTTATATGCAGCTTGATGGTCAACATAGAAACTTTCAGCAGATCGAATAAGCAAGTTAGAGAAGAGGAAAGGCAAGTGATCGCAGTTGACAACATTCAAATTAAAATGACCAAGCATTCGTGAACTTAGTAGTACCTGGGCCTGCAGAACAGCAAGTAAAGCGATGGCGGCCCAATACGAATGTAGCTGGCCGCTTACGAAGAGACGAGAAGTGGAGGCGGCAGATAATTCGCATAACAAAAAATGGATCTGCTCCGATCGGATAGCAGCTAAAGTTTAGATAGAGCACCGACAAAAACAAAAGTTGTAGAATGCAAAAATATAGGAGGAATCAGGAAAAGAAGCCTGCTCAAGACTAACACAAAATGAATCGCAGGTAAAAAAGTAAATGATAAGCCAAGAAAATGGTTGGATAAATAGACGTGTTTGGGAAGAGTAGTTCGAGGTTGAAATGAGGCTTTCCGGAAAGATGGAAACATGTAGTGATGCTACCGTTTGGGCAAGGAAATCAGGTGGACTCAATCGGAAGATGGTTCATCGCAAAAAAGACAGTGCAGAAGTGACTAGCGATTGCAAACCAAAGGCTGGAAGCCGAAAAGTGCAATGATTCATAGTGAAAGTAGAGATGTGGCGTCCCAGTAATTATGGTGCATAAACGCAGAGCTGATTATCGGTGGTGGTCTGTGCGGAATAGTGTAGCTCATCACTGAGTAAAGCACATGAGAAAAATAATACAAATACTGATGTGCGCACATCAGTTGTTGTTAACTTTGTGTCGCATTGTGTTATATATATATATATATATATATATATATATATATATATATATATATATATATATATATATATATATAATACTGTGACATGGCGAGCGCCTCCGGCTATATTAGCTTCTTTGGATTTATAGGGCTGATGAATAGGATCCGAAACAACATAGAAGACAAACTGCTTGGAAAGTCGCGCTAAAGTATACACAGCTGATAAGATCCGAAGTAAATCAGTGCAGGTAAGCAGTGGAACACATGATGAATACTACCGGAAGCAATAGAAATGGGTAACGTACCGAGAGCAACTTCGCGGTTTCCCAGAACATTTCAACCGCAGAGTTCGAGACAGCGATGTTCGTTTTCAAATGCAATGAGACACTGCCTGAAGGAGGTGCGCTTGTCTCACTAGCCAGAATGTCCGAATCCCTAATGACTGCGTCACCAAGACCAACGACTAAGTTCGGGATAAGCGTGACCTAGCGAAGCAGCAAACAAAAATGTTATAAGTGTGATTTTCGGATCGCGCAAATAGAATCAAGGAGAACAGGCTCATGGGAAAGAATAGAAGCAGCAGGTTAACCAATATTTTGCTAGCGTCCTTTTTAACGACCCTTTTTAAAATGTATTTTAAGCATTGATTTAATGAAGAAAATTTGGATTGGCCAAACTGAGTTTCAAGTAATAAGAATTATCATCTTTTCTGTAAGTTCAGTAAAAAAGAAATATCACATTAATAGAATACATTAAATGACATTTTAAAAGCATCCTCAAAAATGTCAGTAGCACACCAAAAAGTGCTGGATCCGTTCATCATTGAAATGTGTACAGAAACGTAAACTACCTGTATGAACCATTTAAAAGCGTTTGACAGATTAAAAACGTGGTAGCGATGTTTGTCTTACAATCCCTTTCTAATAATAGCTGAAAGTTAGTGACCCATGTTGTAAGGGCAAGCTAGAATACGAGGAGGAGATTTATAGGTGGCATATAGCGCAATTATTAGCGTGGAACAACTGAGGAGAGTCAACCAAGTCTATTTGGATTAGACAATTCATCAGCGACCTCATTTCCGTATTAGTACATAGAACTCCGATCACAACTCTCTGCGTACATATTCCCGGTGGAATAGCATACCCTCTTAGGCACATTTTCGGCGACCTGACCCCTGTAGGACATCGTTAGAAGCTATCAGTGCGTCCTTAACGCTATAAATCGCGCCGAGACCTTTTACTTATTCAAGCAGCCGATGTATTTACACAATCCACATCTTGCTGGACCGCAACGGTAGTGGACACACAAAATAAAAAAATTCGTCAAAACTTATGAGCTTTCAAATAGTATTCGTGTCTTGTCTGCCAGGATGGATCCATTTATTGGCAAAGAATGAAGCCACAATGCGGTGAGTAAGCAGTTAAATAACGATCTCACTCAATGACTTCATCTCACCCGCAGATAATGACACCTGGGACAATAAAGGTTGTAAGTTAGTGCTGACCATCACAAGTCAAATGGGGGGGGGGGGGTAAAACGAAGTAGCTCCTGAGGAAAGGTTCCAGATCGGAGTTCGGTCTAGGGACAAAGTAGTGGAAAATTCAGTAAGCCGTGTGCGAGATTTCGTAGAGGTGGAGAGGGATCACATCTAGACAAGATGAGAGGCTATACAACTTGCTAGCAAATAACCACAAAAACAATATATAGATGTGAAACGGAAGGCAAGTGGCAGAAATCAAATGGATTACCGTTTACACGAAAGTACATGACTTCAGGATATTATATCTGATCCGTAAGATACTTAGCAAGTTAGAACCTAGCCGAGCTGAGGAACGATGTTAGGAAGAATACCCAGTTTTTGTAGACTCAGATTTATAAAGCTTTCCAAGAGAAGAGGAGGATGCAGAAATGACGACATCACTTCCAATGACTTATCAGTCCGCACGTCGACGGAGGATCCCCTAGTCACTAGTAATCATTACAACAGATATTTTTGTTTATCCTTCAACAGCAATACTAATGAACAACATACCACATCGCCTAAACAGTTTATAGACAGCACATTGTAGACAGCAGACTTTCGCATAGCATAAATAAGGAAAACGCTCAGCGTCGCAAAGTCGTCCTTCTATGGTGGTCCTGATGGTAATCCACCAGGTTTGATGAGATACGGAGGTTCAAGTTCCCAATTCTCTTGCAGAACATGCATAGCCCTTGTCAATGAGGTCCGTCACTGTGACACCTCACTGGAGACACGCTGATGCTGTGCCAATATATAAAAAGGTTCAAAACGGGATATTGCAAATTACCGCCTGAGTAACCATACTTCCATACTTTTCATAGTTATGGTGAGGATTAGAAAGGCCACGAGCACTCAGTTTCTAATATCAAGGAACATTACAAACTAATAACAACATTGCTCTACTAAGGAGTTTTCTTGTCAGTCATGCCAATTAGACCTAATCCCCATCACAAGCTCCGTTGAAGGAGGTAAAGCTTAGATTATCACGAACTTTGACATACAAAAAGCCTTTGGCCAAATGTTCCATGGCAGGCTTTTAACGACTCTGCCAGGGTACGACATTGCTAACCCTCTAGTTTCTTGGTGCTCCTCACACTTAACGGATAGAACTAAAGCAATCAAGATAAGTAATCACACATTCTGCCGCAGCCCCGTGACAAGTGGCGTCATTCAATGGAGTATTCGGGTGATAATATTTTTTTATATACATTTATAACATAAGGGCATTATTGTCTACGGCAGGCCCTAGATGTTTGCAGACGATACAAAAGTTGCTTGCATTTTCGATCCCTTTTACCAGGGATACTTCGAAAAGCACAAACTGACCTGAATGTTCTTGAAGTATAATGTGCTACCACAAAATGAGTTTCTCTGTTGAAAAGAGTAATACCATCTCATACAGATGTGATTTAATGCCCAAGCGGCAAATTTCTTAGGGAAACCTCTAGTTTGTGGCAACCAAATAAGAGATTTACGGCTTTGCTCTTTCAACAGCCTTAACTTCTCCAAGGATGCACAATACAATACACTGTCGCTAAAGTCAATAAAACAATGCCATGTTTCTTGAATTCCTTACATTAACAAGAATTGTACAGACCAAATGTTAGAGTACTGCATTGTTGTTATTCGACAATGCAAGGCAGAATGACGTACCGGCACTAAAGCGAGTTCAGCGTGCTTTCAAAAGACAGATCCTAGGCTCTATTCAAAGACTAACATACTCTGAACGCTACGAACCACTGAGGCTAGACTCGATAGGGATGCGTGGAATAAAATTAAACATATCACTACTTTTCGACGTAATTCGTGGGCGCATTCATACAAATGGATGTTTCACCCAATTACAACACAGTGAACGCTACCCTATCCGTAAAAAATGCACAATGACAATTTCGAAGTTGAGCACCAAGCTGTGTGCAAACTGTTTCCTCTTTAGATACGCATAGACTTGGAATTGTCTCCCAATGTCTAATAGATCGTGCACATCTCCCCACATTTCACGTGCACAGATTAATAAACTTATCATCGCTCCAAAAGCTATGCAACTCTTCAAGCTAAATATCGGAGACAGAAATCTATCCAAAGTGATCAAGTGACATAGAATGCTATGGTTACCACAGAAGCCAAAAAAGGAAACAGGATGAATTTTCATGTCTACTGTCCCAACCTCTATTACATTCCCTTCGTATACCTGCCTCAAGGCCCCCATATGGATATGGAGGCTGAAGACTGGAGTCATACTGAATGCTCATCACCATTTATCCGTGTGGCCATGTCGACCTTCAGGATTTCGTGCGTACATGGAAGTCAACGACGGAAGGTAAACTGAGTCCTCGTTTTCACTTCCTGGGTCCCCTTATATCCTCTCCGCAACCGGCCATACCAACCTCAAGGCCTTCATATCCACATAGAACATTTGAAAGTAGGTCAACTAGGTCCATATCATCCTTTGCTCGAAGAATGTTACGCTGTTATTTTCCAATCATTTTGCAGAGCACTCGTTTCAATGACTACTATTACCACTTCTATCACAGATACGCATAGAAGTGGAATAGAAAACCAGTAAACATTAATGTACAGGAAAACTAGTTTCGCGCTTTCGTAACCCATTAAGGCCGTATGTAGCGAAAAGACATCAAACCATATTTTTCCGAAAATGCAACTTACAGTGCACATATTTCATTCAGTGCCAATGTTTGCGTTTTCGGGATGTACATTAGATTCCATCTGCATACCACTTCACCGCACTTTGTGCTTGATCTTAAGTTACAACCACTTGAAGGTAGTGATTAATGATTACTGGTTGGAAGCAGCAAAAAGAGATATCTTTGTGTAAATGCATCTAATATCACTCAGGTAGAAAGACCAGTTATGTTGGAGTGCGTCCGATATATTTTATATTTGTTCAGCAATTTCTTAAATTCCGACACCGACTTTGTCTCAAATACGTGCTGCGGCAGGTTGTTCCATACATTCACCACTCTGCGTTCGAAACAGAGTTGGTGAGCGACGCGCTTCAAATCCGGTACTACAAGCTTGTACCGGTGTATTCGTGTGCTGTTTGGTGCGCGCAAATGAAGCAGCAACCTCAACATGTGGTAATCTCCCAGATGTACTATCCGGTGCGTCATGATGAGGTCAAGCCGCAGTCGACGATAAGCTAGAGTGCACGGCCCTAGTTTATTACACCCGTCTTCATACGGCACACTTCGCAAACTGGGAATCAGCCTGGTGGCCACATGCTGCACTCGCCCAATCTTTTCTACCTAGACCAGGGTGATAGGACAATACGCGGGAGAACCATACTCTACGATAGGTCGAATTAATGAGACGAAGAGGCGAGTGACAATCTCTTAGGGCCAAATGCTGAAGCTGCGCCTGAGCGCCCGAAGCATACGAAGACCGTTATGGTAAAGCCTGTTCGTGTTGTCTATGGACTTTAGGTAGTAGCGTGAGAGTACACCAAGATCTCGGACGAAAGGTGCGGGATTCAACGATTAATCAGCCATAGTGTAGGTTCGACTGTGCTCACACCTACCCAGCCTCATGAATTGCGACTTGACCGGGTTGATCGGAAGGTTGACCTCAGCTGACCACATGGGGAGGCGGTCGGGGTTCTGCTGAAGCAGATCACAGTCACTGGGTGCGCGGAGTACTCTTTACATCTTCAAGTCGTCTGCATACAAGGTGAAAGGAGAAGCCGGGGCACATCGTTTACATGGATCAGAAACGAAATCGGCCCCAGTACAGTTCCTTGGGGCACGCCACTGCTCGATGGATACCAGTCGGTTAAATGGTTGTCCACCTGGACCATCCACCTTCGACTAACAATGAAATTCGTGATCCATCGGTACAGCGAGCGGCCAACACCGCACACCCTCATTCTGTCGAGTAGCACTCCATGATTTACCTTGCCAAAAGCCTTACTGAAGTCAATGTAAATGAGGTCGACCGCCTTGCCTTGGTTCAGCGCTTGCAACCATTCGTGCCTCGTCAACAGTAGATTGGTGATGTACGAGCGACCTTTCACGAAATCATGTTTTGTGGGCGACAAAAGGCTTTTCGACTCGAAAAGCTGCAGAAGACCATTCTTCACGATCTTCTCAAGTGTGTTTGCTAAAACAGCGATCAGGCAGATCGGCCGTGAACATGGGTTTGATGTGAATTTCGGTTCATAATTTCGATGACTTTTACAGGACTGGAGGTGAGTTATCAGGAATTAACCGGAATTATTTATTCGCCTATCAATGCTACTTCTAATTCATTGCTACTCACTGTCATTACTAATCGTTCACTGCTACCAATAATCTACAAGAACGTTGGATCTGAGGTGGAAAGTTTACAAGTTATCAGCAACAGTATGATATGTGCCTATTTTGCTGCGAACGGAAAGAATTCCTGTGCATCGATTTCAAATTTTCAGCATCTCTATGAAGACAAATGTTAGCAGGTGATGAGCAACTGGCCACTTTCAAAGGGAGGTCTAGCCTGAAGCGATATACTCCCCAGAAAGCGTACAAATGAAGATACAAAATATTAGTACTTAGCAATACAAAAGGAACTGTGCATTCATCTGGTATACTCACAGAGGAAATTGATCCTGTTCCTCGTGTACCTGACACCAGTACAAGTGTAAACATTATTATACAGCTTGCACAAGTTGTTCGATTCAATGTCAACATTTTACCATATTTTGATAACTACTTTTCTTCACTACGTTTATTTGTTGCGCTTGCGAAGAAGGAAATACCAGTCCGCGGGACAGTACAGTAAAATTGTCTACAAGTGTGCAGTTTCAATGAAGACGCAGACATGAAGAAGAAGCGCAGAGGGACATTTGAAGAAAAGTGAGTAACTGTTGCCAATGTAGAGGCAAGAGTTGTTAAATGGCTTGACAACAGAGCAGTTGTTGTTGTTGCTAGCAGTTATGTCAGTACACAATAAGTTTGTAATATTCAATGATGGGACAGAAAACTGAAATATCTGTGGAATGTCCAGGCATCGATGAGGCTCTGGATACACTGATGACCTATTGTCAGATCCATAACTGGTTCCCACTTTGTCGACATGGTATTAGTCAAGAGCTGATTACTCTATCGACATGATTGCGACTCACTGACTAACTCTACAGAAACAAAGAGACATGCTTACATGCAGATTATCAATGCAAAAAGCACTTCACATGCAAGACAAAGAAATGTCGAAGAGGAAGAGGGGACGGTCTTTAACATTAACTGAAACCGAGTTCAAAATGAAGAAAGGCCAGGGTCCAGCTAGGACTATTCCAACATTGGAAATCCGGTCAGTTTCTGTGGGTCACTGGCCAGTGATTGATAACGCTGGGCAACGATGCAAACGCCCAAATTGTCAGGGTTAGACAGTGATCAAGTGCACGAAGTGCAAAGCTCACCTCTGCCTCAGCAAGAAGAAGTGTTTCAGGGAATTTCACGAGTAACACTCTCCTTATTTGATTTTGCTTGATTGTTACGAATTACTTGTTGCAATTCGAATGATGGTCAGAAGAAAATGACCGATGGCCGAATCAATGGAACAATTACGTAGCTGAGAAAGGAAAATTTGTTTAGTAGCTATTTTGTCCATTTGTTCCAGATGTCGCTATTTCGCATTGCAAACAAAGTAACCATCTCTCCATAATGGAACATCTACGTGTTATGAAATTACAAATAATTACTTTTTAAACACCGTAAAAAAATAATTTCGGCTAAAAGGGGGTTAAACTAGATTTGAGTACCATCTGTGCTGCGGAATTTTAAATAATTACCAAGGCCAATGACTAACTATCGGAACAGTGGCCGGAAGGATTCTTAAGATTTACCATGTGGAACAAGCTGAGTCAGTTAACACGCATGCCTCCGGTACCTAATTTTGCTCATTGAGTGCTGCCTAACACATCAGTGTAGACTTGTATCGTATTTCCCCACGTACGGCACATTAGATTAGTTAAAACTGACATCACCATAGTGGTCTTCTCCCATTTTATATCAATTAGTCAGTTCATTGTATTATGTTTCAGATCTGTTCATTCCCCATAAACTATCGTGCAATTAAGGTAGAGAAAATTACGAATACATCTAACTGAATAGCGTCTTGCTTCCATAAAATAACGCTGGTGCAATTATCCTTCTACAAAAAGAAACAATAATCCCTATAGCTCGAACTGCCCCCACCTGCAGCGCTTCGCTTTTCATTCAGCTACCTCTCACTTCGTTGCAATGACAGACAACGTAGGCTAAGTAAAGACCACCATGCTACTGACATACAAAACAGCTACCTTACAACAACTGTGAGAACTACCGACTAATATGCGATGGATACATTACTTTTCGTGGCAGTGACTTCCCATGTTAAATGACACGTGCCTCCCCAAAATGAAACCATATGTAATTTGTCCATTTAATGAACAATTAACCATTTTGCAATCGCTTCGTACCAAATGATCCGACCGACAACCTGGATCGTGTCTAGCACCTCCGATAAATAAGGTAGTTATTTGGTAATTACATATATAAGAGCAACACAGTGGATGCACAAGGCGGAACGTAACAAAGCGAACAAACCGGCCAAAACTAAAAGCAATGACGTCAATCCTCAGCAAATGGTGTCCAAGATGACGAAACATCAGGCCGCAATAAGTGTTAGCATAAAAGAGTAAACACCATCAATACAGCAAACAGACAAATTGGTTATTTACAAAATTGACGGATACTCAACACATACTGTTTGAAAAATTACGTCCCGCGCTTTTACAGTCTGGAGCATTTCTGCGGAAAATCCAGCCTCCATGGCGACCGCTTGCATAATCGGCTGTATTCTGCGAAACGGTTCCCTAGACGGAGAAGAATGACAAAGAAACTGTATACATAGGACGCAAAGAACACTAAAGTACGAAGTTCAAGTAATTTAGTCATAGAGAGCCAACGGCCGACTACCGATATGAGATCGCGTCGAACCTGCAACCACCGACATCGCGCACTCAAATTATACATAAAAGCAGCTCTTGCTCTGCAGTTAGGGTAAAGTAAGCAGTTATGTGTGAGAACACAGTAAATAAAGCGGCAAATCTAAACAGCGAATACCCCATGCGCTACTATGTATGTTCACTGAGGATACAGGGTGTAGTTGGAGTAATTTGTCAACATGTGGGCGCAAGTGAGAAAAAGGAAAAACATTTAGGTTCACATGTAGAAAGAGATGAGGAAGGAAGGATAAGCTCATGTACGGAATGAGGTTGACGGAACAAGTATCTGAATTCGCTCCTATAAAACTTGGAGGTAGTATAATACATTTTAATAATCACTGAGACTCCACTGGTGGATGCAGGATGTAAGTCCAAGAATTTAAACAGCCGAGCAGTTGCGGAAAAATAAAATCGATTTAAGCAAACTGAAAGAGTGGCTGGTTAGCCGCGTACATCAAATTAAGAGAATCGATTCACTAACAATATGTACATTGAAGGGTTATTTTGAAGTAAACGTTGTGTGAATGGATTGAGACGCGCAATCTTGAAGTGGACCACGATTCACATTGAAGTGAACTTTGGTCAATGCGGTCACTAGGACCACAGCTGAAGATGGAAATTGGATGTTGCCTGCCCGAAAAGACTGCACACCACGACGTGTTTCGACCTCATTGGATCTCATCAGGTGGAGATGGTTTGCCTCGAACCCGCGACCACTGGAATAGTAGCCGAAACCTCTATACATTTGGCTACCGGGTCAGGACGGGCAACGCTTAGCACAACGGTGAATGACTGCTTTGAGGGCCATTTTGAAGTAAACAGTGTGTGATTGGATTGCCAAGTGCAGTCTCAATGTAGATTGATGTGTACGTTGTCTCGTCTTCTGTCTACTTGCATTGAGGATTACACGCTTCCAAACAACAGGCTACTTACTATCATGCACGGCGAGAAGATTATTGTGTGCAACATGTTCAATCGTCAGCTTAACGGACACTAAAAGATATGGCAAACCAGTGGATCTGTAGGAACCCGGAAAAATCGGTGTGGATGATGACTATAATGATGACAGACAGGCTATCAGAAATGAGCAAAGATGGAGTTTGCAAATTCAGAAGAATGCTTGGTGAACTCAGCGATCTCCGGAAATGGATGTGAGAGCGGCAGGCAAAAACATCAGCAGTACACCAGTAAGCAGTAGCAACGATTCACTGACGTGCAATCATCACCAGTCACGCGTGGGTGAGAGATACTGTGAGAATCACCAGGTCCCTATGCAGGCTCGAACCCGCGCCCTCGGATTACAAGGCAGGCTTGTGACCCTTAAGGCAACGGGCCGCGACAAGATTTCTAGGACAGCTTTATCGATACGTCGTACCGACGTGTCGCTGACACGCGGCCACCGCCTAACGCACGCGGACTAGAGATCCTGCGAAGTGGCCTGCTTCTACGCAGGTTCGAACCGGTGGGCTGTGGATTAAAAGCCGAACGCCTAATCCACTCCATCACCGGCCACTCTCCAATCAACTTACGGACAGCATTTGGCTTCATTGGTGACTTTCGGGAACAGTTCTGTTGCACGATAATCATCCGATCGCAACATGGTGAGGTTGACAAGTCGCAGGCGACACGACTAATAATGTCTGCCAAGGACATACAAGTTTCACAGCACGTCTAGCTTCTTTTACCTCTTGCTATTCAGCATTGGTAGAGTACTCATGGTTTCATGGTAGCGAAACATAATGTACTTGTGACCGCGTTAATGACAACAGTGATATCAGCCGCGTACAACAGCTTGTACGTGTATCTTACAAGTGGAAAGAATATGGAAAGCCACAGAGCCCATACGGTTAGCTCGTCAGATGAGTTGGAGCCATTGGTTAAGAATGGTACAGAGTAGATCATTCAGTGAGGTGCGTCAAAAAGGCAAGTTTCCGTTCTGAAGCATGACGCCAAACTGGGTAGAGAGTTAAGATGCTGAGCGACAGAAGAAACGGAATTGCACGCGCGGCAGCCGGTGCTCTGGTAGGTGGGTAAAACGTGAAACATGAGGGCGGTCACGAGAACCAGTGGGCAAAAGAGAACACGCCTTTACGACGCAGCTACACAAAGTGCGCTATTCGCAGATCTCCTATGGGTTGTTACCAAGAAATTTCGCATTGGTCAATCTTTCATTTTATGCGTTAGATAGAGACGACAAACATAGCTGTGGTGCCGCAAAACAATTCAAATAGGCAGTAGAAAAAAGGAAAAATAAAAAGCAAAGTACAAATAAAGGCATGATTACGCTTTGCTTATCTTAAAACGAGATCGTAGTTGGAAGGTCAGGAATGACAGAATAGGCAGCGACCAGCCGACTTACAACACAAACGCCATTGAGGTCGTGCGTATGGTGAGCTGATCATGTTTATGCATTTTGCGGAAACAGCTTTACTGAGCAGACAATCTCAGAGCCTATCGATCAACCGAATCAAAGTTAAAGCTAATGTCGCGGGACAAGACTACAGCGGACTGCCAATAAATATATAACGGTGTTGCAACAAAGGACGTAATGCGTTGTGGTCGATACGACTTCGACGTTAACGAAAAACGGTATTCTCGTGAATCTGGCTTTAACGTGTGCCAGCATGTCTATGGAGAACGACAGAGCAAATAACTTAAAGGCAATTGAGATCAGAGTTATCCGTCTATGAATTCCGCATTCCGAATTTTAACCTCTCTTGAAAATTGGTACTATATCAGAGTGGCTGCAACATTTTGTGATAGTATCATGCGCCCACAGTTTTACTAATAAATCGCCTACAATGGTTGATCTCCGAATCTGAAGAGGGACGGAGGACGATGATCTGGTCACGAGCCTCCACTATACCTCACCAATACGATCACACGTTCGACTTTTGCGTGAGGGCAGATAGAGAACGAGGGTCGAAAAAACGGGGAAATCATTGACTGACGAAGAAGCTGATAAATCTGACCGTTTAAATTGCTTTTCAGACTGCTTAACCTAGCACTATAGACTTTTTGACAAGCTGTGTATAAACGATACCTTTCGTCACTCATAGGTCCGTTAACCCAAGGTCGGTAAGCGATCGCGATAGGATCAACTTGTGCCCATGGCTGGTGGGCGCCATGTTACCGTTCTACGGATGATATGTCGGAAGTAAGTGCTTGCGAGAATTGTCCTTATTGGAGTCTACGCAGCATTGGCCATCAGTGTAGCATTTTAGTGGATAATTTTCCAACTTGAACGTTCAGATCAGAAGCCAGCACTACACTATCTGTACTTCAGCTGTAAAGAAGGAGTTCGTTCAGTTGATGACAGAAGTCATCTTTCATCGAGTCAGTGCTACAGCTTATGAAGATGTGGGAAGCAATAAGTTATAAAAACCTATTGGCCTCGCGAGACTTCGAAGCTTTGAATGGGTAAATCAATATAATGGCGCAAGGCTAGTTACTGACTGAAATCCAGTCTACTAGAGTAGCTTCAATTCAGAAACTCAGAGTAATACTCACACCGGCTTGATCGGCATTCAAAGCTGCATCATCTCGAAATAAACGAAATGAGAAAATGCTACCAGTGTCAAAAACAAAGTGAGCAAAACGCACGAGTCTTGCGGGTAGATTTCCGATAGGCAATAGATATCATTCGATTGGGACTTTAGTATTCGAGCAATTGTTGCCCGTTGTCCAGTGTAACAAAATGCGCAGATTGAGATATACCGGTCTTAGGAGTAATCGACGAGTTCTAAATAGAAACGGATGAATTGAGGTTGAGCGCTTGGTTGGATACGGACTTGTCGACAGAACGGAAATGGGGCTCCGTGAATGAGTCGAAACTAGTAGACGAAGGCATATGGGAGCACAATGGGGGAGAGCCAAAAAGTGGGGGTTGAAAATGGGGATGAAGATGAAATTGGAACGGGACGACAAGGGGGAAAAAGCGCAAGCGGGAATAAGAAGACGAGAAAGCCTGAGCACCCTATCAACGCCGCTCGATGCAGCAGAGGGCGTCGTTGGTAGTCCTCTGCGACGGCCAAAGCATCCAGAAATTGAGTTCACTGTACTGCGTGAGCATGACATAGTTACGTTGCCCACCAGAATAATTAGAGTCCTCAACCAAAGCATTTGGTTTAAAAACTTGTCCATAAAAGAATGGATTTTTATAATGGGTCACAGGTAGTACGTTTGAGAGAATAAGGAGCCAGTCTCATTGCAACCCCCAACTTGGAGAACCAAAAGATTGGACATGTGCCTAATCACTGGTATGAGTGGCTCTGAGAATGTAAAGGCACCACCGAACATGACCCAGTGGGTCTGAGGCACGCAAACCCTCTAACTACGCTAAGGGAAACGCATACTGCGATGGATTCCTACTTTGGAGAAAGTCAATAGTATGAATGGTCGTTGATCATTCAGTAGAAGCAATCGACAGCGGAAAAGTCGGACTAGTAAGATGGAAACGCTATTTCACCAGTTTCAGCCAAATGGAACCTAAGTAATCGGAAGAGGAAACTAGGCTAGAAAGCAATGCTACTGCCAGGCGACGAAGCATTTGTTCGTTGCCTCGAATCATCTAGGTGGGTAGTGAAAACTATTACAAGGTTGGCACAGCCCTGCCAAGCTCAGCAGAACTCCCTAGCACTATCGGACCCGAACAACAAGGTCGCTATGCAGAGATCCCAAACTACCCAATTCAGAGCGGAGCTCTTCTTACGGAAACAGCCACCAAGGATCGACTCAACTGCACAGATCACAACGGAGTTGTCCTCAGTGAGAACACGGTTAAGGTATCCCACACAGTTTAAACTGAATTTGCCCCAGTCTTACTATCGTACCTCCCGGATTCTCCTCAAGTCAGCCGTCTGTCTTCTGAGCTGTGTTCAGGCCAAGGCCTTAGCTACCGAACATACTCAGCAATAGTGATGTGCTCAACGTCTCAACAGCATCGAACCCATACTACTCATGAGTACACCACACTACTTCTGTTTGGAGGTAGGACGACTACATGGCAACTCATGTGCCAACAAACACGGCTGGTGGCATCCGGTTTCGGATTTGCCTGTCACTGTGGCCAGTCACAAAACACCTGCGCCTACAGAGGGACCATGGGTGGCATGCGCTGCACCACTCAGCTCCAACCACATACCACATATCCAGTGTAAACCCGAAGGAATAAGACCGGGAGGCATGTGGACGGGAGCCAAGTTCCATCAACGGAGCCAGCCCACACTCCTGTACAGACAAACACAGCATGCTGTACTTGGGGAATCAAGTGCGCACAAGATAGTGGTTGTATCGTGGTCCGCTCCACACTGAGTGTATGGAACCACTCTTCGAGTCTGGCACGGCCACAAGGACCGTGCACCCCGTCCCCTCCAGAAACGACCAACTGCCTTCTGGAGACAGTATGGACGAGGTAGTGGGAAATAGATAGGTAGGCACCTTGCCAGCAAATCCGTTTAACCCAACTGCGGTGAAGAAGCATCATGAATGAAACATCAGCCACAGCATGGGGCACACCAACAAACATAGGCCTTTCCTTTTAGCTTTATCAATTACTACTGTTTTAAGGAACTATAAATATGAAGGCGCACAAAGCACGGTTGCTTTGGTTGAGGCAGTAAAGCACTCTTACTACTGGGCAGTCTTCTTTCTGTGGGTCTCGGTCCAGTCGTGCGGCCTTTAGGCGTTCTGTCTGCCTTATCAATTGTGATTTCTCGTCTAGGCTACTCTGCGCGTGGGAAACAACGAGTGATAAAGTTCGTTCGTCCGACTAGGACAGTCAAAACTAGACTATGTTTATAACAAAAACAAGCTTGCCTTCCAACATAATTCGGAAAAGGACTTTATAATGAGGTTTAAACCGCTTTTGCACAATGCTGCTCGCATAGGCAGAGTAACGCAGTAGTGAAAAAATTAGCCGTTAGCCATGAAGCCCAGGAGTTCCGTTCATAGGCTCGGCCGTCTATATTTGGAAGAGTTCACAAGATAAAACTAGTAGGGTAGTGCCAAGCAACAGAAAAACCATTTTGTTATGTATCGATGTCACTAGGGTGCGCGATCAAGAACGAGTTGGCGTGTTTCAAGCAGAAGCCTAATCCGCGGCTGCTGACAAACCAGAGTTCGTCGAGCACTCAGTTGTGCGTGCATCATAACGATGATGACTGAATCGAAAGTCGTCCAGTTAGATGATACAGGGCCAATGTTTAAGAGCAAAAGAGGGTTTCTCGTAGAACCGAAGAAAAAGCATAAATGTGAAACGGTAGATGTGCGTAAGTGTCAGGAAGGGAACGGAGAGAGTTTCAATGTGGCTAGGCTCGTTCGTACATGCTCTCAGGAAGTAGGCCGGTGACCCGGGACATTCCAGTTCCCAGTGAAATTTAGGTAAAATATAAACAGCTTAAACAGAGATAAAACTGGTGGACTGTTAGTAACCAAGTGGTAAGTCATTAGTGAGAGAGGAGGTGGTACAGACAAATGCCTAAACTTATTTAGGGTGTTGACGGTCTCGCCGCGTTTTAAGCGACGAATGGACGATCGAATGCTGCAAAAAGCTTGTAACTTAACCACGTTACATTCGAAAATTGCAAAATACCAATTAATAGCGGTTATATATGAAAACGGGTTCAAAACTGCATCGCATTTAGTAGCAGGAAGCGGGAGATATACGTGTCAGATTAAGTGAAGGGGGGAAATTCAAACAGACGAGAAATTCGGAAAAACAGTGCTGTGGAATATGAGAAGCACACATACCGAATGAGTTTTAAATATACCGCGCGAGCGAATTCGATGAGTTCTTCGCACACATGCAAACCTGAGAGAAAGTGAAGCTTGGCGCACCGGTCGGAATCGTGATCACCTGGTTCGTCCTCTGCCGCTTGCATGATGCGACCAGGATCCAAAGAACGGAGCAGCCGACGAGCACAAGCCTCTACCGCGTTCGAATCATCGGCCAACATGCAAGCATATCTCTCAATGACACTGTCTTCTTCGTTTGTATGTGCCGCTTCGGAGGAAAAATCTACTTCCCCAGCAAAACACCGTCGAATTCCCGTGTCGCCATCGATGCTTATATCCAATCCCGAGTCAGATGCCGACAAGTTGAGTCCCAAATGTCGATGTGCTGTGGAAATGTCCAGCAAAATTCCAGAAGTGCACAACCAGTGCGAAGAGTCACAAGCCAGAGTCCACAGCTCCTTCACACGTTGAATAGCTTCTTGTTTTACGTCGAATCGAAGAACGGTGTGCAATGGCGCTCCGGAGCCAGATTTTGGTACCACGTACTGGAAGCCGGAACAACCTTCTGTTATCACCCTATCGTGGTCTTCTGTAGCTGACGTCAAGATCGAACGCCATCGGGCATCGGATAAGGGGCATTCATTGAGAACGCGTCGAGACAGACGCAAGAAACCAGGAGCAATGTGCCAGTTCGAACCGGGTTCTTTCAAAAGTGCGGAAATATATTTGGACGTTTGCTCCTAAATGCATAGAGTGAAGAAAACCGATAAGAATGGTGGACCAGCGTTACGTAATAAAAGAAGTACGAAAGGAGAGGACAAGAAGCTGTGCCAACAAGGTCACCAAGAATGGGAGGTTAAAGTACGAGTTCTACCTGGTTGTTAGGAAAGTAATTTCGTTTTTCCCAACATAAGATTTGATTGTACTTTTTCACAGCCAACTTCACACTTAAGCCGCATTTTTTAAATTTTGGCAGCTGATATAGCAAGGCTTGCTGATGAAACAGTTCGATTTATTATATGCAATAGTATTTGAGTGTTGCCCTTCAAATATGGGAAATGAAAAGTAGCATTTTCGGCATAGTTTAATTTTGTTATTACGGAAAAGGTGAAAATGCTGTTCAAGCAAGAAAATATTATCGCATGTGTATGGAGAAAATGTATTGACAGAACGCTATTGCCAAAGCTGGTTTGCAAAATCTCGAACCGACATTAAATAATTATTCAGTGGCATTAGTTAATTAAGTATTTAATCAGACCAATTATTTAATTAATGTGCAGTGATTGATGCAAATCGGCGAAAAACAGCTCGTGAGATCGCTGAGAGATTAAATTTACTTAATTCGACAGTTTCTGATCATTGGAAGCGCCTAGGTTTCATCGTAAAGCTCGACATATGGGCTGCTCATGTTCGTACGGAAAGAAATTTGTGCCGCCGCATTGACGTCTGTGAGTTACTTCTCAAATTCCAAACAAATGATTTATTTTTGAAGCGCATCATCCCTGAGGATGAGAAAGCTAAGCTCTACCAGTATTCAAAATTGCTGTGTGGATTCACGGCGCTGGCAAGGGAAGACCTGACCGTGACGGCCAACCACTGTCCTCGACATGGGCAATAACCTGCACGGCAGTGGAGGATGGGTCGGGCTATATCGCAGTTAAGTTTCAATTCGCAATGGTCGGCTGTCGTTTCCCATGGATCAGTGGCATAAGCTGCTGGCTAGTTGGCGTTAGCCTCTAGCGGTCATGGGTTCGATCCCCAGTAGGTGACCGATGGATGCGCACCACTGACGAGCCCCAATAGGGCGAAACGCGCGACTGGTGCTTTTCCGGATTGGTTGCTTACCTATGCGTATTGAAAGCTAATTGCGATGAACCAAACCGAATTATACCCAAATCCGTCTACACATTAGTGATGAGAAATGTGTTGTCAACAAGAATGTTAAATGCAACAGATCATCGAGTAAAAAAGATGAACCGGCTCAAAGCACTTCGAAGGCCGATATTCATCAAAAAGGTGATGCCATCTGTTTGGTGGGATTTCAAAAGAATTGTTTATTTTGAGCTTCTACCGGACAACACAACGAAGTGTCTTGAAGTGTCTTGTCATCAGGTGGACCAATTGCATGATGTACCTAAACAAAAAGGCCAGAATTGATCAATAGAAAATGTGCAGTGTCTCACCAAGATAATGCGAGACCTCACATAAGTTTGCTCAATCGTCAAAAGCTTTTACAGCTTGAATGGGATGTACCACCACACCCACCATATTCCCTAGATCTGTCACCTGATTAGTATTCGTCCCTGTCTCTACAAAGATTTTTACACGGTAAAAACTTTGCCTTGAATGAGGAGGTCAAAAATCACCTGCATCAGTTTTCGTCATCAAAGAAAAACAATTTTATGGGCGTGAAATCATGCTACTGCTAGAAAGATGGCAAAAGGTATTGGATCAGAATGGAGAATATATAACTTAATAAAAGATTCATTCACCATTTTAAAAAATCGTTCCACGTTTTCATCGAACGAAAATATTACTTTCCCAACAACCAGAGAAATATTGGGTGAAGAGTTCCCTATAAAAGCAATGGTGCGGCTGATGACTATCTGAAAGATGAGGTAACTCACGCGAAATCCCATCCAAAAAACTCGGGCAGCCTCAGACAATGCAGCGAAAGTAAGATCAGCAGGGGAAAGCAACAGTGGAGCGCGAGCAGTATCGTTAGGGTCCCAAAGGGACAAGCGGTCGGAAGCAAGTTGAATGGCGACGTGAATCAATCCTTTCTCATGCGTGCGAACAAGGACAACGGGCATACACTCTATACGGGTTTTTGGAGGCTCGCTGGACACAGAATCGATGCTGAATAACAGAGATATGTGCAAAAAATTGAGTTAGAGTACTCAAGATGTAGGTTTGAAGATGAACTGCTGCGGGCAACGGCGAAGACGCTGTGTGGAAAGAGCGGAAGCAACACAAAAGATGGGGCAGAGATACAAACCTGGCTGGGTCTACGTGCGACGATCGCTGAACAAGACCAATGCTGGGCAACTGGGCAGAAGGGCATCGTCCGCGCAAGCTGACTACAACTGCATAGGTAGGATAGTCAAGGTAGAACAGGATCGGTCTAGCACAAACGAAGTGTGACGCAATTACGGATAGGGGAGAGTGAGGTAGCTCGGACAACAGCGAATGAAAAGTGCATGCGTGCCAACAAGGTTTGGTAGACAACACAAGGTTTAATCATGAGCAGATGGATTTGGTATAAATAATGATAATGATCAGCTATTCGTCATAACGGCGCTTCGCTGCCGTGAGACCAGCACGTCGCACGCGGGCTGATTTTACCGCGAGGACGCCCATCCCTACGCGGATTCGAACCTGCGCCACAAGCACGAAACAAGCTCGTTACCTCTAGGCTACGGACCGACTGGTGGGGGTTGGCCAATTGTGCGGCGAAACCAGTGGGCCGAAAACCTTTCAAGTGTTGCCCGCACAAAAGGATCGGAATTGTATTGTAGTGTTAGTGTAGCGTAACATGATAAAGGATCAACGTGGCCGCACACGAAGCAGGCGAAGGATGGGCTGAGCGCAACGGAGGTACAGTACACGTGTAGGCCAATGAACGTAAGCGAATGACATGGAACAAAAATTAACCAGTGAAAGGCGGTCACAGTAGAAGAACGACTCGAATTCGTGCATGGTATAAATGACCCCACTTTACGCAAATGACAGATTTCGAGCACCGCTTGGAATTTGTCCTGATTCTCGAAAAGTGACGCGATAATATCCGCTTCGCATCCAGTGCAAGCTCGAATAAATAGGAATGAAAGGCGCGCAACTACGAACCATGGTTGCTCAAAACGTGAACTAAACGCGAGGATGGGCAACATGAATGCATCCGAGGACACACAACTTGGAGAGAGAAGAAAAATCACGGCAGCGAGCGTAAGGTTATCGTGTTCGAGATCGATGCCGGTCCAAATAAGCATCAAGGTATTTACGCTGTGCTACACGTGCACATCCGATCGTGTTGCTACGCCCCTAAAATACACCCGCAAGTGATGAGTCCAGTAAGGCTGTGCTTAACGCGAATGCTCAGTAGGTGCAATCCATCTGACTTTGGCACCTCGATTACTGGCTACGGGAGTCAGTAAATCGTCGTTGGGGCAGATACGATGCGGTGTGGTTGAGAAAGCGCTGGTCAAGAGTATCGGAAATAGGAAAATGAAGACGTCCCAGGCACAAATGCACACTAACGATGCGCACACTTGAGAAGGATCGGTCAATTGCGACTCACTGGCATGTGCACCAGTACTGCTCCACCGGATATCCGTACAAGGGGTATGTGGTGCGGTGTGTGTGTGTGTGTGCAGCGAACACCAATCGTGATCTTGAAGTAGACGTAGTCGCCTCGTGGCAACTTGCAATTGCAGTTGTCAAAACTTTATGCGGCGTAGGAAGGTTGTTTACCGTAATAGCTTAAGTGCAGATAGTAGACGAGATCGAACATATTACAGCTGTGTTAATTTGTGCGCTTCATTTGTTGTGCAACTCTACGTCTTCATCCACATGACAGTGGTAGCTCGGTGTACACTATACCTCCTACCTCTATAGTAAGCTGTGGTTTCCACGATTCCAGCAAGAATGTCCCTCCTCCCCATTCTACTCACTGGTAGTACACCACATAGTGACAAGCGACTCAGGTGAAGGACACATACAACCGCAACATATCGGAGCGGCAGAAGCGTGCGTGTCATGCGTGCACACAAAAATCCGAAGACGGCACATTCCGGCGTGGGCATACTGCTATAAGAAATATCGTGTGGCAAATCACAGGTGCCCACAGCTCCGCGCACCGTCGAATGGATGTGTGCCTGGCCATTGATAACATCATGAGCGGTCACATTGGAAAAATCGAGAGAGAATAAATGGCGGGCATGAAGTAGCGGACCACAAGCTGTTCACCTATGGCCCCAATTGAACCACGAAGCACAAGATAGCACACAGTTGCGCCGAACACCAGCATCAAGACAATAGCGAGTATGCATGATACAACAGAACAATTAATTAATTAAAGTAGACATCTGCTCGAGTTGACGTGTGAATGCGCCTATGCAAAACACAGGTCTCTAGTTTCACAATGTACATTTTCGTGTATAGACATGCTGTAGAAATAGTCGGATTGCACATCGGAACAGTCATAAAAGTCGTAATTCGGAAAATATAGATGATGCGATTTCCAGAATCCATTCCCGTTTATGCAGCCTGAAATCAGTTCTATTTTCGCGAACGGAAGAATCGATTCGGTTCGCCCTCTTTTATCATCGAAGATCGTGTGGCACACTACAGTAGATGGAAGAGTATTGATATGGATGAGTTGTGTGAACTGGCAAAAGGGCTATGCTAGCGCCTATGGCACATATCTTACGCAACCTGGTTTGCAGATATAGACAAAAGTCGACACCAGACTCAACTACTTCGTCCAGTGACACAATAGCAACGCGTAACCCCTAAGCAAAAACAGGATAACTTGTAAATGAATCTTGTGACGAGACAATGGTGGGCATACATGAGTGAGAAATAAATGAAAGCAAGTCCCTCGTTTGAGTAGGGTGTGGGCCGTGCAAACTAGGAGGTAAGTCCAAGGGGCACAAATAACAGGCGTTATGGAGGTATAAAAGAAACGTAGAACAGTAGCCGCAATTTCCAGCTAGCAAAATCAGTGACGAGTGGTATTCAACGAATTGTTAGAACCCAAGTGGCAGGCGGTAATTGTTTATTAGTGAGGAATGTCATAGATAATAACATTAAATTCGGAATGGGAAGTAACGAAAGAAGGAGCAGAAGGTGAACTGGACCGGTGAGCGGAAATGAAAGCGCTATGTCTATTGGTAGCTCACCTCAAATTGCTGGACTTCATCTTAAACGATTGGGACGAACCGTGGCCAGAAATAGAGTTGAACTCGCTCATCTGAGAGATATTCGTGGAGAACACAGAGCCCGTGACAGGCGCCAAAGTCAAAAGACCACGCTGGGCCGTGACAAAAACGAACAAGTTGTTCGGCTCTACACCACCACATCCAAGTAAACCCGATGCAGGAGGTAAACGGACCCCTTCGTTGGATCCGGTGTGCTGCCCAAACTGAAGCTTGGCGACGAGGTGTCCAGTCAATACTGAAGTGCCAGAAGTGGAAGTGAAATAACTAACCATAATACATGAGATATAATATTACTAACGACACACGAGTAGCTCTCTGAGTTTCATAAGTTTACGAGTCAAGTTTCTGTTTGTGACGGTACAACACACAACTTGTGACCAACAGATAAAATTGCAGGCTTAGTTACCGTATAGTAGCGAATATAAGCCGATGATTTTTGGACAATTCTCAATTTCTGTAGTAAGAGGTCCGCTTATAAAAGGTTATACGCAATTTGAAAAAATCACATGCAAAATCCACCCAGAAATTCACTGCACAACTATGCCCCTATCATGCCTTACCACAACTTGTTAGTGACAGACGGTATCCCAGACGGGGATTTGAAGTGCCTATAGGTAGACAGCTTATGTTTGTGTCGGAAATTCTCGGTATATTGCACATTTGACTTTCGCGACGTATGACAGTTACAGAAACATACTGGTTATACAGTATGGAACAACAACACACAATAACATTGAAAAATGACATGACAGAACGGCACGTATCCTTCGAAACTAGAATCCGAGTCAAAATCTCTAAACACTTTCTGGAACTGATCGTCTGTCATTGGGACGTCAGGGTGAACATCGTCATCTTCAACTTCGCTGCTCTCGTCATTGTCGTGATCCTCAAAAATGGCATCGTCCTCATTTCCAACCAAAGCATCACAGATGCAGCATTATTTGAATGATCAGATGATAGTTTGTGATAGAATGTAAAGCCACGCTACTTTCACCCACTCTGCAATTGTAACAACGTCAACATTGTTCTAACTACCACCCTTTGTCAACGCTAAATCAGATGATGTCATCCATTCAGTCCACCTGGTCCGAAGCCTATCTTTAAAGGGCTTATTGAGACAGACATCCAGTGGCTGCAAGATTGATAGAAGTCCACCGGGAATTAAAGCCACGGACAACTTCAGTTCACGACATCGTTTCTCCACGTTCTCAGTTCGGTGTGCCCTAAAGGAATCCCAAACCAGCATGGATGGTTTCTTTAAAAGGGCACTGCTACCCTCTCACCAAACTTACTAAAGCCAGTCTAAAGTACCACTCTCGTCCATCCATCCCTTCGTGTGAGCCCGCACAAACACGCCGCTTTGGAACCTAGCTCTTTTAGGCAGCGTCTTCCGCTTAAAAATAATGGAAGGTGACGAACGGGAACCATCTGCAATACATCCCAAAACAACTATGAACCGTGTCTTTTCGTGTGTCTAGTGTACAAAAACAGTTTTATCGCCTTTCTGCTCCGACGTGCGATTTGAAGGCATATCAAAGCACAAGGGCGTCTCGTCCGTACTCCCAATTTGCGACAGTTCAAAACCGTAGTGATTTCTCAGGTGAATCAAGAAGCTTTGAAAAGATTCCACTTCAATGTCTAATTCCTTCGGCAGTTTCTGGGCTAGTTTTGTACGCGGCCCTAGACAAATGTCGAATCGGTCCATAAAACGATTGCGCCATCCCGAGAGAGCAAAAAAATTCACCGGTTTTTATAAGTGAAATTAAGTATCTTTAACACTGACAGTACTCTGATACGAATGCTCGTTCAGGTAACAATTAACCCGCTATTACGTGACTTCATAATCCACTGCGCTAACTTTTCTTTCAGTGTAGGAAACATGGCTTTTCTACAGCGTGTTGCTTTCTTGCTATAGCCATTATCTCCCTTGTTTTTCATTCACGATGAAATGGTGTGCAGCCATACCATTATTAGATTGCTCGGCAAACGCTATAACTTTCCCTTTAAAGTCAGCTGCATATGCACATCGCTTCTGTTGAGAATTTTTTCACGTTTCCACGGCTTTGGAAGATGGCACGAAATGTGGGCACATTCCTTCTCAGCTGGATCATGTGACGTCGCGTTAGCACTGTACTGGGTAGCGAATCAAAGCGCTAATACATTATGCTACGCTAGGCGATCCGGTGCTCGTCTCATATCCACTGCATGAGTCCCCCGGACTATGACATGCCCTTTCACTGTACCACATATTGCCGACTGTCTTACCTGTTTCCTGTGACTTGACACTGTCGGGTGCGGTGAGTCTTTGTTCTGACGGCTCTACGCCCCATTAACCGCGATCATAACACACTACGGTCACCACAACTGACCAATAGTAGAGCAGGTTTTGCTTGAACACAACCAAAGGCGAGCAGATAGTGATAAAGTGAAAATTGTGGAGAAACAACTTCGTTTCTGTTTTCGCTGACTTTTTGTGGGTCGGATATTATAAGGACCTATGATTTTGGACAAAGTTGGTGTTGCGAAGTTATACTGTCGGCTTGCCTATGGACGGCCTTATACTCGGTAATATACGGTATGTTTTAATACCAAACATCTGCATGGTTAGCATTCAGGGAGGATTTAACGGCTTTCGAATGTTCTTCGCTTTATCGCGCCACACCCACCGACCTGCGCATCTCCAATCCGTGAATCGATATATTTCTTCGAGTACATACATGATTTGAAGAACCCGGTTTAATCGGCATGATGTGACGTGGACAATGGCAAAAAGCGTTGATATGACAGCAGATGGTGTGTGAATACTGGACTGATACTCAGCAAAACTCACCTTCAACGATTGCCACCTGACCTGAAGGGACACAGTGGAGACAGGCAAGCAAGCAGGGATAAACAGGCGGGAGATCCAAATCGGCAGAGTGTGCAGCAGGTAGACAAAACTGTACAGCGTCAATTTGATGTCCGGACCCAAAAGGCCAGTCAACAGGTACCAAAGAAGTGGAAAAAGTTTGGCAAAACTGAACGTTTGAATCGGAGCCGCCCAGACTGAGAGTGAGCAGGTAAAACGCATCCGAGCCGCTGGTTCCGGCACTCGAGTTGCCAATAAGTATATACACCAACTCATTGGTTGAGACGAAGCTACGTGTATGCTGGACGGTCATATCGACAGCGTGCCAATGATCGAACGAGGATTCGTTCATTGAGGAACTAAGGAGGGACTCCACAGTGAAAACGTTGTGCAACTGCAGAAGGGAGTAAGGCAGTACAAGAAAAAAGGTAGCAAAGAAGAAACCATTGGTTTTCAGTGCGGAAGCAGGTGTAAACAAAGCGCGCTGATAGACCAGTAAGTGCTCACTGCAGTAGCTTCACGATTTGTAGCCAACACCGGCGGCTGTTTCAAACGCTCCTCTACAAGTGCAACGGAGCAGCAGAGATCATGCACAATCATGATCGGATAAGTTCGCATATGTGACTGTGGATTCTAAATTAACGAAAGTGGACTATTCCGTTAACAGTTAATGAGTAGCTTGATAACTCCTGGGTTTCTGATCACCGACATTGTCTGCGGTTAATCACCAGAACTCTGACAATTGGTTCTGGCTACAGAATTAAGTATAACAGTTCTGTCACTAACGCTTTTTGTTAAGCACTGTAAGCATATAACTTTTCACACCGCGTGACACTCACTGTATGCTCATATCGGTTTCCGGCTGGATGGATGTTCTACTGTTCCGCCGTCGCGAATCGTTTTAGTTACTCTTAAATCTGTTGTGCTGCTTTGTTTATAGTCGACAATATGGAATCACAGTTTAAAAGTACGAGTTATTTTACGAACCGTCCTTAGTTCTGCCACCCAGACCGTTAGCAGTTAGTCAAGTAAACGGGCCTGTTTTCTGGCCCCACAGTGGTAGCAGCGTCGTTGTTCTTGCTGTCTAAAAAAGCAGGAGACATTTGCTGATCATCGATCAGTGAATTATTCACCGTCCCCAAGTGCAGTAAAAACGTAACATTGTTAACCTCCTTGCGGCCGCTGCTATAGATCGAAATCGTCGAAAAACAGCTGACAGTGGCATGGAACATACCGCAGTGGCGAGAAAGGAATAGCTAATCGGCAACGGACTAATCCGGGTAGCCATTTGAATAACATCCCTTCAGAAAATGAAAAAAATACGGGCCTAGATAACAAACAACTGCAGCGACCCGCGGGATCGCAGCGTTTGAGTGCAAATTACTGTGCAAAATATTCTCAACCTGTAATTGCATTATGCATCTAGGCAAATAAGACAATCTGCACGTCCGAACGTTGCAAGAGTTTGTTTCAGTTATGTACACACATTTGTAGTCTACAGCTTACCGGTTCGACTCTGCGTAACCCTACGCGGCCTCACAGTACCCCAAGAATGAAGAAACGGCTGCGCCGATTCGAGGTATCCACCAATGACCTCTATTTTACTGGCAGTTTCGACTAATCTCCTGACTTGGCTGGACACACCCACATCCAGTGTGACATGTAGCTGAGACCAAATAAAACTTATTGGAAGATATCACATACACAACGACTAGCACTTTTAAGCGGGGCTGTTAAACTGGTCGTTGCCATTTTCATTGAAGCATCGCTTTTACGCTATTGACCATTGACGTCAAGGTCACTGACAAGTGGACACAAAACTGAAGCTCCGACAATTTGCACATTTCGTACGTCATCTATGTGTAATGTTAACGGATTTTGGATTATCATATACCACCCAATTCCTTTTTGTGTGCTCTTGCTGTCACGGGAAAAAATTAGAAGGATATCTCCCAGATTTTGTGAAAACTGTGCAAATCGTTTTCAATCATCCTGTGATCCGTCCTGTAGTGGGGTTTTCCCCACGCACGTCGCCTAAGTTCCACCCAGCTGACACAGAATTACCAGCTCTATCGTCAAACGTAGGAATTATTCCATCACCTTATCACCTAAATCGTCTTACCGGTTCTGGAGGAATTTGTCAGCTAGCCGACCGTATCGGCTGACCAAACTTATCGGTCGACCGCGATCGACCCAACCTGCTATCATGTCAATCGGGCTGACCAGTCGCGAGTAGTGCTCCGGCAGTAAACAGGAGTACAACTCACACCGTCAGTCATTTGATCGTTCGGCGTTTGGACCGGCGTGTGAGTTGAAACCAGCGTGCTGTGCGTCCATTTCAAGTTCGGGCAGGTTAGTTTTATCGCGTTCCCTCTCACACCACAGGGCAGTGTATGAACAGGAACCGAAGTGACCACAGCTACCCGTCCGGCTAGGGCGCAGCTGGAAAAGTATCCAACGTCAACTAATCTCCTGTGTAAGGTAGCAACACTATGACGAGTAGCAGAAAGCAAACAGATGCGAATCCAAAAGGGCTCTAGTCGAAGGGAAAAGTCGGATGCGCAGTGTAATCGATCGGTCAAACTTGGTTTACTTTGCTCACACTGTTTCAAATGGTACCATCCAAAAGGTTCAACGCTTTCCCAACAACACGTGAGAGATCGAAACAGCTCCCAAGACGATCTCTGGTTTTGTACTGCGTGTTCGACAATCCCACTAGTCAAATGCATACTTCTCCTAAGCCAAAAGTGCGACCGGTTAGCAGAAGTTGAACAACGAACGAACGCTAAGATTATATCACTGGAAGCGAGTATGCACCAGGATGACACAGTGACTTTTAAGAGAAGCAATGGTGCAAAATGTGCTTCGCTCAAACCATGATTGACAAGGCACCCAGTACCGTTATCCTCTTTAATACTGGAAGAACGCCAGGCGGAAACAGACCGTAGCTCTGATAGACAAACGGTACTCAGGACCAAGAAAATCAGGCACCACTCGAAACGTGTGATCGAACAAGTTCAGCCGGTATTGACAACTTGTATCATTAACATGGATGGGACAGCTGCATCTGCAACCCAAGGGTCTCCCCAGTCCGGTTCAAATCCCCCGAGGCTCCAGTCACTTAGGCAGAGATCGTCGCATAAGTCCCTCGGGATGCTACATTTAGTGCCTCCCCTGTTCCAAACACCGCTAACGCCAACAAAGCAATAAACAGTAGACCAGCATCACTTGGCATAAAGCCAGGTCCAACAATCACCCGACTTTGCAGTTCAACAAAAGGAGGCTCCAGTAATAACACCCTAACAGTCGTGTGCACTAATGTTGCCGAATTTACCGCTATCACATTGCGGAGTAAGCTCTCTGATGACCAAGACCAGTGGAACTCACTGTGCATTTTGGTGAACGCAAAAGCCAACCCCACAAACCTAGTGAGAGGCACTCATCACCGGAACTCTGCCCACAATGGGGAACGCAGAGTGACACTGAAATCGGCCAGTCATGTGAAAAAGGTTTTACTCTCTGCAAGTGCGTAACAACACGGGCCTTGTAAGGTACGCGCCTATCCTGAGGTCCCTTGGATCACGCGTCAATCGAAAAGAAACATCTTGTATGGACACAGCAAGCTGGATTGTCCAAGCAAAATCTTTATTTATGGCATGTCATAACTTCCTTCCCACAAGAGTCATGAGGCCGGTAATCACGATTTGGAACAGTGGCGATTCATTCGTGAAACCCTTTCTTTGGACAACGTTGTGGCGCGATCGCTCAAAAGGCTACCTCTTTCACCAAGAATACTAAAACTCATAGTTCAGTCAGAGCAGACAGCAACGGAAATGGAAGAACGTTGGAGACATCAAAAAAGACTTCTATCTGAACTTTGGTTAAAATTTGCTGAAGTTAGCAAAGACCAGATATGAGCCTACCGGAAAAAGCAAACCTACCAGCGATACCGCAGGAGCATCACCTTACCGCCTGGTTACGCGATTTCGCAGTATGTCCGGACGAGTAATGGGACGTATCTTGGCCAAATCAGTTTGCGAACGACGTGTCATCATCATCCCAACAAAAAGCAATAACGGCGGACCTCATATCGGTGCGTATTTTATCACGCTTGACTCCTTTGGCTATCTGTGGGCTCCTAGAGACCCAGAAACTATCCTGCCTTTATACCAATACTCAAGGTCTTTTCAATAAGCTGGCCGAACTGAAAGAACGGCAAATTTCGATGCCATGCAATCTCGTCGGTGTCACGTAGGCATGTCGCTCATACAAAACGACAGGCTTACAAAAGGAAGACGGGTGATGCTGTATTGCCGAAGCGACCTATAGTGCAAGGCCGTTGAGGATTCAGACTTACAGTCTGCCGATTCTCCTTGGTGCCGTTTGCAACTACATAGCAGAGACATCTGCCTTAAAGCTTTGGTATACCATCCCCTAAACTCTACACAGGAAATGGACTGCCAGCTTACGAGAGCTTCAAGATCCAATCTAAAGCGAAAGCACACTCACATCCTTATCATGGGTGATTTAAACCACTGCCACAATAGGAGAACAACCCAAGGCAGATCTGCAAGAGCTCATAACCAGTGTTCCACTTTACAATCAAGTCACTATGCCCACTCGTTTCAGAACAGGCAATGGACCATCTTTACTGGATCTTGTGTTCACCAACGAAGAACATATGATTGATGTATTGATTGTAGGGTGCCCTTTGCGTCACAGTGATCATGCACTCATCAATTTCGACCTCAGCTGCTATGCGGAATATCGCCATGAGAACACTGAGATGGTTCGCGCCATTACGTGCTACGACCGCTTAGCGCAGCTCGTCAGTGCCACAACCTGGTCGTTCCTCTCTGAAGACCACCGGGAAATCGCTTGGCTGGAATTTGTCAGCAAATTCAAATAATTGGTTACGGATGCCGCAGAGATAAGGGTTTTTAATGGGTCTAAAACCGTCACTTTCGTAAGGAGAACTAGAAAATGGAGGACTGTGCGCAACGCAACTTGGTCAGAGTATAGATCATCAACAACGCCAGATAATTGGGACATATACGTAGCCTGTCGCAACCACAGCACCAAACTGCCCAGAGATGACAAGTCACACGTCAGCAGAACATGGCGAAAGCTTTCAGTGCTAACCACAAACTGCTGTATAAGTACGTCAATGACCGTCGTAAGGTGAGGCAGGGAATTCCTACGCTCCAGACGACTGATGGTAAACGAGAACAGCAAACGCGTTGCGGACGCGATATGCTCTAACATTTCAGAGAGTCTTACCATCAGGCCATCTTTCAATTCTTGTTTTCCCGCCTCCAGCACTCACCCACATATATTTACTGCCGAAGCTGTGTTGCAGAAGCTGACCACTCTACGCAAACACAGCTCCCCGGGAGTCGACACCATTCGCCTAGAGGCACTGGGAGCAGCAGCAAGACAACTAGCAAAACCTTTGACGCAGTGCTTTCAGCGCTGCTTAGAGCAGAACCAGATTCCTGCGATGTGGAAGCTTGGAATAATAACCGATTCACAAAGGCGGAAGCAGGACTGAGTCCTCAAACTACCGCCCAATGTTCCCTCTCCCGGTAGTATCCAAAGTCATGGAATCCATCGTTGCCGATGCGTTGGTGTGTTATCTAGAAAATTTTAACATTATTGCGCCCGAGAAACACGGCTTTCGTCGACAGCGTTCATGCACAACGAATCTATTAATCGCACGGAGTAGTTGGACCGAGTCAGCTGACGCTGGAGAGGCTGTTGATGTGATCTACTTGGATTCGTTTAGATCATTGGATTCTCCTTTCCAAGCTCCAATATTACGGGATCGGTGACCCTCTCTTGAGCTGGATCGCGTAGCGAAAATTAGTGGTCAGAGTCCAGAGTACCGTCTCTAAGCCCATACCAGTCGAGTCTGGTGTTACCCAGGGTTCGGCTGTTTTTGGTATTCATCAATGAGCTTGCAAGGAAAATCGCTTCAAATTTCCAGCTGTTTGCCGACGATATCAATATACGGAGCCGGATTCAGGCGTATACCGATCGGAATTTACTTTTATGTGACCTGGAAATGGTACATGAGTGGCCAACCCGAAATCTTTTAAAATTCAACGTGAACAAATGCAAGGTACTCTCCATACGACACCAGAGTACCTATTTCTACAAGCATGGAACGAAGTACTGCAGAGATCATCCGTCGAACGCGATGTTGCCGTGCTTGTTCTGGATAACTTGGATTGTTCCAAGCAATCCGCAAAGGCATCGAAAACTGGTAACCAGCACGTCGGCTTGCTACGACGGGCGTTCGGACAACTAGACACCAGTATTTTCAGACAGATGCTGAATGCGTATGTTCGCCCCCATATCGAATACGCAATCCAAGCCTAGCTAAAGCACGACCGTACTGTACTGGACCAACCTCAACGTCGCGTTTCCAAATACGTCATTGGAATGCGTCACCTTCCATACGAGCAGAGGCTGAAACGTTTCGGAGTATTCAGCGGGCGTTATGGCCGACTACCTGGCGCCGTGACTATGCCATACCTGAGTTTACACAATCCGAATTGTGTACCGCTCTTTAGTGCAACCCAGCAGCAACACCAAGTTTAGTGGTTACTTTTCGAAATTAGCAGAGCAGTGCAGCCGTCTGGTGTGCCGTAGAAATTTCTTTTCCCTTCGTGTATGTCAACTATGGAACGCTCTCCCCGAAACGATTGCTTTTGCACCCACACTAGCTATATTTAAAAGTCGGCTGGATGACGCACTCCGATACCTAGATTTTGTTACTTGACGCTTGGATTCATTCTTTTCGCCTATTGAAGCTATGGAAACACTCGGAGTGCATGGCTAATACATTATATACGATAAGTCCATTCTTTTGACTGTAGAACTATCAACTGCATTTTTCATTAACGTTTTTCGATAACCCACTAGTCTACCTAACGGGACTTGTAAAGCAGTGCTTCTTAACCCGTATAAAATCACTGCTCGCTTTTAGGAATTTTTTGGCGAATTCTTTGGTGGAACGCCGCTGAAGCCATCCTACACAGTCGATTCGTTCAAAAACGTATTGGGAGACTGCGCAAGTGTCGTAAGTTGTTAGTTCTGACAGAATGAAATTGTTTGTCAAGAAAAACTTTGGTAAAACTTTCTAATCAACCGGGCAATAATCCTGATAATTATCTTCAGCAATTTGCTATTGTTGCTCGAATGTGAGGGATTGTTTGTGCAAGTAACATCTATGCACATTTTCCCATTTTGTCTTTCCCTTTCGTAAAGCCTTGGGCGCTGCTGTTCATCTGCAGTCGATAGCGTAAAATGCTGAAAATATACCCATCCCGGGGCACACAAAGCGTACCTTCCGTTAAACAAGTTTCCCATCATGGAAATCGTCCCATGACTTTGGAAGGAAAATAAATGCCCTGAAGACGCACTGAAATGTATTCACTGACTATGGCAGTAAAATGATACAAAACCTAACAGATAGATCGTATCATCCATAGAGACCTCCACTCGTAGGAGCACAATTTGATATCTTTGAAAATATATTTCTCGCATCACATATCGAAAGTGCGGCATGATCGTCAAGGCTCACCTCCCATACGAGAACACAGTGCGTTTAATTAATTATGAGTTACGTTGCAGTAAGCAACATCGGTAGCCCGTTGTTGACAAGTTAGTGAAATTGTGCTATATGATGATAAAAATCCGTCTTCAGGTTGGCAAAAATGCAAAGCTAAGGCGCTAACTGAGACAAAATCCAAAGGATGATAGTCGGAAATTCAAGGTCCCACTCAAACAAAACAGGCCAAAGGGAGGAAAATCGATCAATAATCAAGGGGGATTGTATATCGATGTGGACATCAGTACCGATGCTGAAGATGATAAACAAGAGGATCGGCACATCGCAAGATGGTGGTAGAGCGAGTCAAGCCGCGAGCTAACCATAATGATGTGAATGGGATTTTAACGTAGCATCTAGCAATGTGGTACAGTCGGAGTACACGTACTGCGACGCTGAAATGGTAACTGGCGTTGGAAATGTGGGACATAATATCGGCCGTGACATTTTCATGGTGGACAGCTGAACAAGGCTGGAGAGCGAATGGAAGTAAGAAAACGACGTCCGATACAAAGAAAGAGTGCGGGCTGGCGGATTCTGTTCATTAAAACTGAGAGACATGGTGGAATCCATGCGGATCATAACGTATAGTGACCAATTTGAGAAGCCTATACCAAGTGTCCAGCATCTTGAAATATGCTTGGAATCGATCAACAATTCATGATTTCTGAAGGGTTTGAAGAAAACCGGTGGGTGTAGTTGTTGGGGCAACGTTTTACTTGCGACACGAAAGCTTCGTCAGGCCAAGTGAACCAGCAGGTGATTGGTGTGGCTTTTATGGCAAGAAGGGGCAATAATCGAGGCGACCGAGATGGAAGTAAGATGTTAATCACGTTACAGGTCAAAGTGTCATTTCTAGTAGCACATTAGGCATGGTAAGATCCCAGGTGGTTCATTATATGATGTCATCACACGTGTCTCTCTCAGCGACACCGAGTGGTATCGAGTGTGTTATGAGCCATGAGCGGGTCCCCTCTCACGAGACACAAACTTGGGCGGAAATGGTCATAAGAGTCAAACGCAACAATCTGTCAACGCACACACACATATCACGGAAGAAGTATTGCGCGCCCCTGCAGGTCGAACAGAACAACCATCCTTACTACAATTCAGGTAATCGAGGGTGCAACAGCTCAAGTATATTCTTAACAAACGCAGCACTAACGTACACAAGTGACTTCCATACTGTAGGGTTAGGCGTCCTAGATAAAGTAGACCGTCAGTGAATTACGCGTAGAAAACAGGGCCCATGGGTCTCATTAGACCTGCCTGTTCAAAACGGATTGAAGATCATAATGGTGCCAGTGTTGATCGAGAAGATAAAAGCCTACCTGCTCCTCCAAGGACTGATCGAGTGACCATACTTCCAGCTGATTGCCGAGAAGCATGTAGACGAAGCAGAGACCGCTCGGTGATGCACTTGATCTTGTGACGAGGCGGACGAAGAACTAAATGATGGGGTGCGAGACGCAATGCAGAGAAAAATGGACACATTAGTCAGAGACCACAGTTAAATGATGTTGGAGCGGAGAAAAGCAAATGTCAAGTGTAATCAATGAATCAAAATGAGTGGGAGGTAAGACAGAAAACTTCGGTTATTGGGCAAAGGCGGAAACCAGCACGAGTACACCACAAAGGCCGCACCAAAACGGAAGGTAGAGAACGAAAAAGGAAGAGGATTCTGTGAAGACCTACCGTATTTGCACTGTTGCGAGAAGCAATGCGTGACCCCACTGCGTTTGAGAAGCCGACCAGACCAAATATGTTTGAGACCTTACGCCCAATGCCTGAAAGCAAATTGGACGTTGCTCCGAATCCGCTGGATACCGGGCGACAATCTGGTTTAGTGGTATTCACCAGAGGACGGCAACTAACACCATTCTAAAAGCGAAGAACGTTGAAAATAACGATGACATTGGAAATAGCTGTCGTAAAAAGGGATCACCTTGGACGATGAGATATTCCGGTGCACATATGTAGGGGGTGTAGATGAAAACAACACAAAATATCGGAAATGCGATGTTTATAATCGTTAACAGTAGTACATCGCCAACTTGCATTTGTTCTTCGCTCTCTTACAACCATGGTGACCCCAGTGGGGGATGTAACATGGCAGCCGAAGGGGAACTTAGTGCAAGGAGATCACCCAGGGTCACAACCACATGGACGATAGTGAGAAGGGGACATCTCCGTAGCCCTCTCCCTCCTCTGCGTCTTAATCAGTCCCACACCACAGGCAATCCGACAAGCTGACAGAAAGTGCGTCACTGGGGCCGACTGCGAACTATATCAGGTAGAGTCTCGAATCAAGCATGAGTTAGATGACGTGAACCTTAAGCTATGAAACGAGACGAACAAATCGTAGCCAATTCCGTCGCTGCACCCGTCGAGCATCGCATGACCCCTTATCCGGCAAACAAAACAAAACATAGTAAGCCATCAGCGGACATCAGTAGTGTGAAGTACAAGTGCACTAATCTGTATCTTTTCCGAAATCAAAGTTCTAAATGCCAGCGTTCAACTGATCACAACTATTCACACAGCAAAACAAGAACATGAACCTTGTTTAGCTGCATCACTGTGGTTATTTGAAATACTGTGTTTACGAGCCGGTATCGCGTACCTCACTACCGACGTGGTGTCAGCACCGCCGTTGACCAAAATCAATTCACTGTCTTGGAGTACAGGCCACAAGAAACTGTTCTGACGTACTATTGCATAACACTCAGTCAACGTTTACGAACATAATCGTAATTCACTTTCGTACATAAAAATTAGTCGGATTTCCGCCATATCGAGTTGTTCTCATCTTGACTTGGGAATCAAGCCGTGAGTGAGGTCAGTCTCCTCCCCAAATATACATTGGTCTATCCACTGACACTTACAAGGGGCATGTGGATAAACCAAAGCAACTTAATGCTGTTTGTCGCCATAAGAAAGCTTGATCACGTCTGTACAACCCATGGATGTGGACCCGCTGGTGCCACCTGCACAAAGGAATGCTTGGCAAACAGTGATGAGCAAAGACACAAAAGTGCCTCAAGTACCCAGAAGAAAGAGGCATCACTTTCACAGAGAACGTCTTTCTCTATGGTCCAGTATACAGAGCTTTTGTGACCGAGAGAAATTCCATTCTGACACCGCAGATCTAGCAAAGAAGCACTAGTTTTCGCACAATATGGACTAATTGCAGTGACAGTTGCTGTTTTGGGACTGCGGATCAGATAAACATGGCCGCTGGCTCGCCCCTAAAGGAAGCTCGAGCTCTAGGGTACCCGCTGGTACAAGAAAGTGACTCACAAAAGGGAAATGAACAAACGATTTGTTTAAGGGACTTTATGTGTAACCACAAACTCAACGGTCTGAGTCATATGGACGTGGGGAACATGTCCAGCTTTGAGGACAGGGTTCCAAAGTCCCGTGGGTCGCTGCTGAGGCCAGCAACATAAAAACCAGGAAAGCTGAGGACGGCGCAAGTTCTTACTCAGAGCAGAGCAGGAGTCTGTGAGCTTGGTCAACGTGACTGAATTTTGGTCATGAAAGACATAAAGTGAACAGTGCCGGATAAAATAGCAAAGGCACAAACCTGTAAATAATAACGGGTAAAACCAAAACATTACTCTAGCGTTCCTGGGATCCACCAGAATCAAGCGACCAGTACGAGTTGCCAAGACGAAAGTTCCCGGCTGGAAGAGTTTGTGATAAGAAAATGATGTGAGAACACAGTAATATGCAAATAAAAGCGGTTTGGAAAGGGAATTATGAAGCGGATCACCGAAAGCAGGACACAGAACGCTGTGATACATCAGAAGCGCTCAACAAGTTGACACCTACCACTGACGTGCGTTCCAATTGTACAGCTTCATCGCCGACCAGATCGCCAGTCGGAGTCAATTTGATGTCAGTGTGAATTGAGTTTCTGGCCAGTCGAGGCCACAACCGCAAGTTTTCCCCACAAGCACTGAGTGCCAGGCAGCTGGTTGGAGACGCGGGCGCAGAAACGGAGCTTAGGGTCGCTGGGAAGATGAGACCCACTAAGAGAGCACTATGTGGCATATCGCTGGCTGGTAAACTGAAGTGCAAGCACGATGACTGAGTCTGAAAAGAAGAATGCGATGTGCATGATAGCATAATGGAGGTGGACAAATCCTATAAACTGAAAGACGCTGACTAAATTGAATGAAAAAATAAATTTGCTGAATTATAACTCAGTCTATTGGGAAATGACCATTACCACAAGCTCAGATGGGATACATGTAGTTTGAGTACAGGTAGCGTCTCCCGAAAATGAGCATGAAAGCACGTCAGAATGATGATGGTCAACGTAGAGTTGACCATAATCGGATGACGTGGATACATACAAGAGAAGACGGAGGTAAGATCGTCGTGATACCGAAAAAGTGATTGATCAGTGCTGTCGAACGTACGACATCCTGCATAATAATGCAGTTAACAAGGTGGGTATTTTACTTGGTGGGACAAGCATGACAAGACAAAAGGAAATATCTCAAAGAAGCATCAGAAAGACCATGACAGTTTTACGTGGGTTTGTCAAGCCAGACTCAGTCGGATAACTATCATTCATTTTGCTGGCCACGTGTGACCGCGATAAATCTGGCGGAGGTCAAGCCGACCCGCATCTGCTTAGCAGCATATCAACTCAAGTCACCGAGCCATGAGTGACGTTGGCGGAGCCCCACCTAAATAAGATACCAGCTGTGACCTACCTACATCCTACGAAATTATACCAATTATTGTTGGCAGATAATACAAATCATCGGCAGAAAAAGATTATTCCCAATCAGCGATTAATTATCTTATAGCATCATAAGCTAAGTCAGGTAGTTTTTAAAGGAAGACTGGAGGAGGTCGAAGTTCAAATAAGTTTGCCGTAGCAAAAGAGTCGGAGGCGGACAACACTACACTGCAACAAATGGCATGATTAAGCCGGTTTCGCAAACTAACAACCGAGCAGAAGTTTACGTAAGTGAATCGCAAAGGATCGAAGAGAAAGGGATCAACAGTATGCCCCGGTAAGCCGCACAGACTCTTTGTAGTCATGCGAATAGCATCAATCGCGCGCGCGCGGAATGAAAATACCGTGAGGTCGCCAGCACCTACGCAGACTAGAACCGATGACCATAGAGCTACAAGGCAGACGCCTCATCCCTTCAGATATCGGCCGATTCAAAGGGATTGGTAGCGCATTCAAAATCTTCAGGAATAGAAGAAATGTGCGCCAGTGACCAGTCAAAACAGGATGAAAAGGGAGTTTGACGCTTTCTCAGATATGTGCGGCGGTTGTCTGACTGAATTTGGCTAAAGCGAACCAAGTTGAAATATAACAGCTACCAGAACATTATGATTGGAATAATACACCAAAATGAGCTAAAAGTAATGGTGGAGACGCAGTGAAGTATGAACGAGAAGTGCATTTTTCGCAGTCAGAGTATGACATGCCGAAGGCAGGCGATCCGATCACCTGAGATAAGCAATGAAGTATGGAGGCAACCGATCAAAAATGATAAAAACGAACTATGAAGTAGCATGAGGAGAAAAACGCATTCATATAGTGATGAAATACAGATTACAAGAAAACTCAAATGACAAAATTACTACGGAGAATATAGTCACCAAGGTGGTCAAAGGCATCGCAACTATTGCTGTGCGTCAGTTATTGTACAGTGATGTGTGCGTAGTTGAACCAGCTAAGCTCCAGTTGTCCGTCACAGACAACTGCATGGGAGCCAAACTGCAGAGCGACGGACAGTCTAAAGTGACTATGGACTTTATACCATTTAAATTCGAAAATATAGATGCAGTGTATAGTAACAGAACTGGAAGGTGGTGACTGACATCTCAACGGACGAAATGGCCAGTGATGACCCGCCTGTCTTTCTCCGCCATAGGGGAAGCAGCCCAACAATAAGAATGCTGACTAACTGATATGCTTTGGAATTGCCCACTAGAATGGGAGATAAATTCATTGCAGTTTACCAGTCTAATTGGTATGTATGGCATTTTCGGCTATGTGAAAGACGAAGACTGTGCGTCAGGAGAGGATCACAGTGAGTGCAAGCGGTTGAGCTGTGCAGTAAAGTTTTTTAATGGCAATTTATAAAACCACTGAAGAAAATAGTGAAAGTGGACGGTTCAACATCGGTGGGAAAACGTAGCCTCGTTCTGACGCTACGGGAAGAAAGGTGACATCTGAGCCAAACGAAAGAGAATATCCACTCAGTATGCGTGAAATCATCCCTACTCACTGAGTGGGTCAGTTTAGACAATCGCTTGTGAAAAGGAAAGTTACAAAAAATGGATACAAACAAGAGGTCAAGGTCAATACCTATCCCAACTACCGGTCAGTTAAAAAAATCATTGATACTGGAAGCGTAACAACCGAAGCCTCATTTTGAAAATGTAAGGTAGAATGAGCGTGAGCAACAGCATGTACTGAAAGAAATGCGAGATAAGTGCAGAGCAATCACGACTAGCAAGACCAAGATGGAACCCACACTCTAAGCGTCTTACTAGAAATACAACTTGTTATGAATACGAAGTCAAAACAGCAAACAATTTTGCACTTGACAACGCAACAGATGCATTACCAAAGTTGAGGCCAACCATAAAAATGTTTTTCCCATGAAAAGATTATATAAGCTTGTCGCACAAAGAAAGTATATCGGTATTCCCAAGCTTAGGGAACTTATTACTCTAATCTACAAAGGAGGAAAATTGATTATACAAACCCAAAACGTAGTACTACTCTACTATCAGGCTCGTGTTGTTGTATAAGAGTATGAAATCTGTCAGGGTATCTAGTTGAAGACTGCACACGATGTATTGCTTTCATGCGTTAACCAATTTAACGGTACACTGCAGCAGCACTTGCATTAGCTGGACCGAGAAATCGAATTCAGCATGAAATGTTGGAGCGAATTCCAAGAAACTTAGCACAGAGTGATCCTAAAACGCCAAAGAATTCAAACATTGAGCGCCCGCTCAGGTGGACGCTATGAAAGATCTCCAGCCAACCGAGTTGGGCACGGCCTCAACAGATTCTAGACACATTAGAAAGAGATGAAGCCTGTTGCTAAGAATTGCTTGGAAAATACGATGAACTTGATCAGCGACCCAACACACTGAACCAGAAAGTTTTAAGTCCATATAGTTTACAACAACAGCAGCAGCAGTAACGACAACAACAGATCAGTGACATATAGGTCCTCAATATCCGTGGAAAATAAATTTTACAATTCCTACCAATGCGAATGGTATACTGCTGAAGCTCGGATAGCGGCCTCCGGTCGGTTATTTTTGGCTGTGTTGATAAGATCACTTTATGTTGGGTTTCTTCATTCATTGGAAGTATTTCGTGGAAATTTAGATATAATCCAGTTTCATTTTTGATTCCGAATTTTTCGACTAGAAATAGTTGTGTTTTCATCGCTTGAATCGGCGATCTTGCTATCGCCATTTGTTAAAGCAATTGGACGCCATCTTGTTTTCGGATTATTCACAATGCCGAAGCAATCATCCTGTGGTACTTGTTCCAAGAGTCGGATACCGTGCAAATGCCCTCACGTGTGTTTTATGCCAAGTTAAATACCACATCTCATGTGTTGGATTATCAGTTGAGCATTTGCATCCTCTTCGTGAAATCCAACACGATTTCGTCCAAACTTTACGTGAAAATTGTCGAAACAAGCTACAGCCAGGAAGAGTAAAGCTGACGTGTAGGTTTCATCATTCGGTTGCGAACAGCTCCGTGTGTTTGGCTCAAAAACCTAGCCCGAAGAGCCTTCAAGTTTCAGCTCAGTCTTCCTCCTCCACCTGTGCAAGCTCACCGGCACGAAGTCCAACCGTTGTGAGAAGCCCAGTTTCACCTGACATAAATATTTTACCTTTGTTGTGTCCAACGAGCACTGATGTCAAAACAGGTGAAAGTCTGAGTGCTGAAGACTAGTGGAAAGGACAAAGAACGAAATTACGATGGGATGTTGGGCGTTTAGCAGTAAGAAAAACCACGTGAGGCTGGTAATACACTTCGCCCTGCAAGGTTAATCTCGTCCGACAAGAGGCGTTATAACCTCATGATCTTCCACACGCCGGAGTCCAGTGATCCATCACCCCAAGTGTGCTACGAACATGATGTCGAGTTTTTACAGAGTCTAATTGACAGAGTCCTCGAGGATGATGAGGACTTGGTAAATGTGAGGCAAATTACCCGTCTTGGAAAGCAAGGTGATCAACAAAATCGGCCTATGAGAATCGCTTTTGTGGACCAAGCTAGTCTAAGACTGATCATGCCCCGCCTAAGTAGGCTGAAAGGTTTGAAGATCCATGTTCGTCCGGACCTGAACCCAGTAGACAGAGAGCGGCTCAAGTCTGACATCATTGAGCTGAAAAGATATACTGGTGAGGGGGAAACAAATCTTCGTATCATAAATTTTTTGGGTGGTTTCCAAGAATTTGCGAATCAGGATAAACAGGCTGCTCACACTTCAAGCACGCCCAGCGGCTCCTGTTGGGGCTTGCGAGTAGCGTATGTAAACGTTTGCAGTGTTATGAACAAGCGCGATAAGCTTTGTTGTTTCGTTGCGTCTGAGCGGCCAGACGTAGTGGGACTCGCAGACATGATTGCATTCAGAGTTATACACCAAGGAAGTTGAAATCAACGGTTACTCGCGCTTCCGATACGATAGACTAACGAACGCTCGCGGTGGTCTTGTTTTACATCCGGTCTTCCTTGCGTGGGAGACTTGTGAGCACCTACCGAAGTGACGATGGTTTGTGTGAGCTACTGCGGTGCTCCATCCGCCTCAGGCGCGGAGAACTACTCGTGGGCGCAGTCTATCGCAGTCCCTGAGTAGTTTGGATTGGCTGCCCATTCCTCGAACCCACATGAGTCGTCCATACTTTCTACTTATGGGCGATTTTAATTGTCCTCGAAAACGATGGTCTGAAGTGTATTTGATGCCTGGACATAGTGAGGTAGAAGCAAAGTTCGTGGATTTGGTACTTGAAACTGGTGCATCGCAACACATATGCTAGCCAACACGCATACCACCACGCTCAACCCCGTCCTGTCTCGACCT